GGGGGGGGGGGGGGAGGCATATACCTTTCACCTTATTACCCCTCATATGATTTCTTGTATCTTGAAATCATTGTTTGATAATGCTACTCATTGCTTCATTTTGAACTTAGGGACACTAATAGCATCATTCTGGGTGGGAGGGAGGCTAATATAAGGTGAAGAAGTGGGGGCCATTTTCCAGTTTTCACCGCCAAAGAGCCACTAGGAATGTCGAAACAAAGAAAGTACTTTCAAATTATGGTTACAAATATACAAAGCCAACTTCGTTTTTATTAAATTTCCGAAAACATAAAAGTTCCGACAACCCAAAGAAACTTCAATTGTTCACTGTCCAATTATTGTGTGTTTATCTTTCGACAAGCAATATGCTTTGAAAATAATGCGCAATTGTAAATATGTAGTTGGCCTTGGAGGAAATTTTCTCAATTGAAATTAGAAATCTTCTGTCAATAATCGTTATAACAAAGAGATCGCTCAATTTCTGCTTACGGTTCTAAGTTTCAAAATTTAGAGATTTATCGCAGATTTAGGTATGCCTACACTATAACAACAGGTAGAACAATTTGACGTACCAACCTCATGGTATATAAACAATACAAAGACTAGCGGTAAACGTTTAGGCAGGCACCGCGCAGCCATTGGGCTAGCAGAGGCTATAGCCCCTCCACCTTTTTTGCGATAATACGTTAGAAAACTTTTTTGAAAGTTTACTCTAACTATGGTCTAAAGCAACATTGAATAGTATACTCCTAAGAAGTAGCAGGTTTTCTTTACTGGGAACCCTTTTTGTTCATTTTCTAGGTCTTTTTCTTGATGTTTTATTATCCCCAATCTAATTTTATCTATCTTTATAACGATTGATATCTTCCCTGAACCAGATTGTTTATAAAACCCCAGTAGAAATAAGCCAGTATTTTCTAGGCGTTATCCGGTGTTCTCGAGGGCGTGGCCTCAAAAAATTTCGGTAACACCCTTTTCAGCCCTCCCACATTTAGACTGGTGCGCGGTCCCTGCGTTTAGGCTACGTTTTCAACCTCGCCACACCTTGGGGAGTCTACCTAACCTATGTCTTCAAGTGAATCGACGCCTAAGGGACGTTAGAATCAGTGGTAGGGGCAAACTCTTTGTAAAAACATCGACTTTTGAAGGAAATGGACGTTTCCTGAGACTTGATGCCCCTTCCTACATGTATACCCCTCCAACTGTGAAAAGTTCCTACCTCTCTGTAAGCAAGTGGTTCTCTGTTTAAGAAGCAACCATTATATCCATTGGTTATTAACTAGGGATGGATACCAGGGGGTGTGGGGTGCCCTTTTTTGTCCTTTGGTAAAACAAACCTTTGCTTCGAATAGCGAAAAGCATTTTTCGGTAGTCAGCAGTTAAAACAAGATGCAAAAATTTACCTTACTTGTCATCCATCTTCTCTATCTTATAGTATATTCATTTCAAAAATGGTGTTTCCATCATTTTCCATGCACTGCAACGGTGTGGTGCAAAATCAAAATAGTTTTCTAACACTCCCTCCCCCCCTGTCCTTGACGCTAAAATCCGTCCCTGCTTGTCGTTCTGGTCAACAAAGGCTAGGGGCTTTGAAAAGCCAATCATTTCTTTATAAAAAATTTTTATTTGTCGTTATCGACCTACCTAATCAAACGACAGTTTCCCCTCCTGAAATTTCTCGTCCAAAATTGATTATTCCTACAGGAATATTGAAAATACAAGAAAAAATTAAGCTCTTTCAAAACAAAGCTGAGATCTTGTTTTTATTGGATGTAAAGGGCAAAACCCGATCCAGCATTATCTCGATAAATGTCATAAAACAGCATTTATTAAAATTTAAGTAAGATTACCATAATCCGGTTTCAATTCAAGCGTAATTTCCGCATGCGCTGTTTATTATGGAAAGCTTTTATCAGGATTGCTAGCCGCGTTGATTATGCACTTGACCCGGTAGGAGGCGTACTCCTTTGATAACTGAGGTATAAAAGGAAATGACCGGGTCATCAAATTCAAGTCGCTTTGAAAAACAAAAATTAATTTCTATTTTCAAATAAATTTGCGGTTTCAGCAGAAGAGAGAGGATTTCATGATTATCTACCAAACCTACAACATGGCCTAATTCACAATAAAAAACAACAAAAAACAGCAAAAAACTGCAAAATTCCCACAAGAAGTAATGAAAGGGGCAAATTCAATGTTGTGGACGGTATGGATGGTGATTGAGTTGATGATTATGTTGATGCTTATTGATCATCGCTGATATCGACGACAACGATTCAGATGATTGACGATTATGAGGACGATTATTGGGACGATAATGATTGCGATTATGGTGATGATCATGATTTTAATGTTAATAATAAAGATGATTGACAATTTTATGGACGATTGTGATGGTGATTGATAGATCATCGCTGATATATCCATGACAACGATGAAGATGAGTGACGAGGACAATAATGAGGACGATTATTGGGACGATAATAATGATTTATATCCACTGATAACGAAGACGACGATGATTACAATAACAAAAATTGTTAGTGATAAATGATGGTGACGATGACCACACCCTGTCTCAAAAGGCAATACCCAGCTATAAACTAGGCTAAACGCATTCAATATAAATGACTGCAATTCATTACTGTCATGGCGGTGCCTTCTTAGTTCTAAGTTGATTAAATAAACCTTGGTTGGATTTTGATGTTTATTCATGAGGCTGCGCGACAACTCAATTAAGCCCCTTTGGCCTTAAAGGTATTAGAAATTAAGATGGGATCACTTGTGTTTTGCTATTACGTGACGAGAGATTGCAGCAGAAAGTTTTTCCCAAGAAGCACTAAGCGCTGAAGAAACAGGAGATTAAGCATACGAAACAGGCAGCCAATCCAAGTGGCTCTGGAACAGAAAGACAAATCAGAAAAAGAGGAGATGGCAAAGTCTATATATATATTTAGCTGAAGTGGATCTGAGAAAAGTCAGTAATGAATATTAGAATAAAGCTAAACTTAGAACAATACTTGTAGGACAAGGCTCTTTGTTTAATAGGAACTCAGACGCTCCCCAGTTTTCTTCTGAAGCGTGCGTTCATGGCTAAAGGTCTAGGCCAGAGCTCTGTTGAAGGTTACGAGCTGAAAATCGTTAAGGGTAAAGGCTCGGATGTATGAGAGGCTAAGATGATAGTTAAATAAATGATAAATAACATAGAAATGTTTCTTTAATCATACTTGACCTGAGATCCCTTCTCGAAGAGTTTCTGTATTTTCTGAAAGAAGCTGGTAGAGCTACCTTTAAAAGACTTCTTTACAAAACTGAATATGAAATGTTGCCGTTGAGGCATTCAAACAAATCTTACAGAGTGTAGAGTTATCAAGCCCGCGCAAATAATTATATTGTAATTATATTGTCCTCTTCCCCCCTAACCCTTATTGAAGGAAAATCTTTGCTGACGCTGTTTTACCTTTAAATTTTGGTTTTATTTATTCGTTATAATTCACAAGTTTATCTATATGAAAATATGAGCTAATTCAAATCTATTTCGCAAAAAAGCGGAGTACCAATCCCTTCTCCCGGCCTGAATTCAAATATAGTTATTGCTTGGAACAATTAATTTGTCCTTGGCATAAATTATATGAAAAGGAAATGCGAACAAAACCTAGCTTGTACCAAAACAAGCAAATGCCACAACATTGATAAGCGAACATTTTTTAGTTCGTGATAAGGCCACAAATTCTATGATAAGGCAATTTTATCACTGCAATCTTATCAGAGTGTAATGTGAAGGTAAGGTGATTATTTGATGAAATCTTCTCATGCTGCATAAAGCGATAAAGTTGCATCCAATCAAGGCCTAATACAACTCAATCTTTTTGATCGCATTAAAATGAACCACAACCTAGTTGCATTACCGTTAAATCGCAAAAAGTAATCACATTTCATCAAAAGTTTATGAATTGCTTCTCGATTGTTTATAAAACTTACAAATTAAATACTGCATGATGCTAGAAGCAAAACAGCTTTAATATTCAATAAAAAATCAATTTTCTAACAGATAGCGCGACTGAAAAAATGTAAGGCGTGGCAACGAAGAGGTTATCATTATTTTTTTGATTTTATATAGACTAATGTTTGAATATATAAGTGAAGTTATTAAAATTTGCAGTCTTTAAAGAATCGTGGTTAGGTAGGTTGTTGAAAGAAACATTTCTGGGTTTGTTTGGTTAAGTAAAACTATGAATAGCCTAAATGCTGGAAATATTTGTGTCACAAAATCCTAATCCGAACGCAGTACTTATTCTTAGAAAAATTAACTGGTCTATGATTAAAAAAGCTGATTTGCTCGGCGATTTAAAAAAATACATTAGTTTACGCTAATTCAAGAAATTCTTCTTGCGGAAGCCAGCATCTTGTTGCAAGTTTTTAAATTGTCAAAAATCTAGATTTCAGAAAAATGCCAGGCTGCCACGGAGTTTATTGCCTTGGCTAGTAACAGTGTCCCGGTTGAGATGAAAGAAAACTCGAGTGACCTCTACTTCCTGAACTTTCGACCTTCATCTCTGACCTATGACCTCGTCCACTGCCATGAAGGACCACGAATCTTAACAGAAGCAGCCTCGGTTTCCTTCACAGTCTGCCTCACAGCCGACATCAGATTCTCAGCACAACCAACGAGCATTTCAGTGGCTTCTTGGTCAGCTTGAGCATCTAAAAGCGTGATTATGAAAACGTCATAAATTACGTCACATGTGATAGCAACCTGAACAGGATTTTGTCTTGGCCTTACTTCTTTACTAGTTCTAATCATTTGCAAAGGTTTAGGCAATATTACCTGTTTAAGCAGAGTTCCTTTTTCAAGGTTTACAATCCAATTGCAATCTCAATTTCTCATGTAGAACACCAAGACGCATGTAAACGTCTTAAAAATCACAAAAAATGCCTGTTTAAATATTTTTTCACGCCAAATTTTGATCGAAATTCAAAAGTTTCAATTTTTGATTGCAAATATTTTCATGAGATTCAAAAAATTTTACTAAAGAGCTTATTTCCTGCTTAGGTGAGTAGTTTCCTGGTCCCTATCTTCTGCTAAAAATGAAACCATAGTAAATTGATTGACTATGATAAAACAGGGCTACAATCACTGCAAAAAGTCTTGAGACACTAACGTCAATTTTCAAAGGGAAATTCAGCCATCTCCCTCTCCTCCTAGGAACAATGTTGATCTACTTTAGAAATCATAAGGGGTTACGGTTTTCGTATAATATTTGTCTATACTTTCAACATTGTTTTGGGGGGAAAGGGGGACGGAAGTATTTGTATTCGGGAAAACAGGAAATCTCAGCGCAAAGTGTTAGGTGTTCCAAGTAATTTTGGCAGTGATTGTACATCAAATTTATAGTGACCAGTTTTCAAACAGAACTTCGCCTGGTCTTAAGAGATCAGTTTCCAGAAAAATTTACAGAATAAGTGGAAATTCAAGAACAGTACCCATTTAGCAAATTAATTGGCTGGAGATCTGTTTACAAAGCAAAATTAAAATAAAATGAAAATTAACTGATATATACAAGAATTGAATACCTCTTGCTCCAAACATAGTTGCCTTAACAGTGGCAAGAATCTTTAACTGGGTTCCCGTTGTAGGGATTCTTTCAACAGTTTGCAGCAGAACCTATTAGAAGAATAAAAGCAATAGATCAACATTCTAAAACCATACTAAGGGTTGTTTCAATTCAAGGAGGGAAATATGAGCCTATACAGATCGTGAGCGCTCAAGTGGAACTTGATTTTACTCAAACATTTTCTAAAAATCCTCTACAACTCGCGGCAATAGAATATTGAAAAGTCTTCTCTTTAATACTTGTCAAAGGTTATGGGTACACTAACGCCAATTTTCAAAACAAAACTCACCCCCTCTCTTTGAACAATGCTTGTTTACTACAAAACGTAAGGGATGAGGAAGTACGTTTTTTCCTGTGACTTGTATGATATTTGTCTAAACTATCAATATTGTTTTGGGGGGAGGGGGTGCGTGAGTAGAAGTATAGGGAAAAGGATTGAAAATATGAAAACACAACGCTAATTGCTCGGTGTACCAAGTACATTGGCAGCCATCTGAATTCTTGCAAAGTTTTCCAACTTATCAGAGGGGATTTTAAACTGGCTAATTTGTCAAATCAAAGGAAGATTGTACATTAATCACTAAGCAAATTCACACAACTCTGTTATCTATCACTACTTTCAGGAGACAAAACATCCAAATTTCCCCCACATTGAAAAATCTGCATAATAATGTATTTCGATTATTAGTTTAGAAAACATTTTAAACCACATCAGACAATATAACATCTCCGAGCTTTGTAGGGAAGGAATTGTCTAGTTTCCATACTGCTCGACCTGATAGTCATAAATAAGCATGATTAATTATTTCAAGTAAAGGGTTAGGGTTAGGGTTAGGGTTAGGGTTAGGGTTAGGGTTAGGGTTTGGGTTTGGGTTTGGGTTAGGGTTAGGGTTAGGTTTAGGGTTAGGTTTAGGCTTAGGGTTAGGTTTAGGGTAAACTAATTACGTCATCAGGTCGAGCAGAATGGAAACTAGAAAGCTCCCGAAGGGAAAGCTTCTCGGTTTCCAGGAACGAGCAGCCTCAGTTTCATACAAAGATTTAGGTTCTTACATAAATGAATGCAATTGAAAGGTCTCAAATCGTCTGAAAACACTAAATTCAGAAATAAAAGAGGCGACAATAACTCAGAAAAAGGAAAAACCACTTTTAATGTGGCAAGTTTCAAGAGTTAATGTGACTGGATACCACAAAATAACTTTTGAGTCCAAGGTTTCTACATTAACAGATCGTAAAATAATGGGATTAATGCAGTTACCAAAACTGGTAGGATATAAAGTGGTTACTTCGTATTACCATTTCACAACTTTTGAGCCATACAAAAACTTCATTACATTCACCATTGTAACAATCATTCTAGGCAATCTAGAACGTCTGACAGCGTTTTACCTTTCGTTGAAGACATAAATGAACCCCCATCTCATCCAAGGACATTATATACAAATTTCGATTTCGGCATTTCACATCAAAACTTGAGTTGATGACAACCCTAACCAAGGCCCCTAACAGACCATTACATTCAAAGAAACCTCCAACAAGTGAAGAGACATTGCGTCCGTCGCAACGAACAAAGATTGACACACTATTACGAGGCCCAGACTGTCTGAAATTCTCTGTTTACAAATTAAGTGGTAGTTTGATTAAAAAGTGGTTGAAAGCTTTTATCATTTGCAGCTGACATACTTTTTCAAATCAACATTTATACGGCGTGGGTATTTAGCAGAAAACCTCATCACAAATGCCTGACAACTGTATAGATAATAAGGAGCGACATGCTTTACGGTTTCAAAGATATCTAGATAAATTGACCAAACTGTGGGATGTTAATCCGTTTTCACACAATTAGGCCAGATTAAAGATATCCAATGGCTTTCGGAATCATAAGCGAGTCTAAAACTTAACAGCTGACAGAACCCAAGGCAAAGATATCAAAACGATGGCTGGATTTTACGCCCCAGCGTTTACTGTGGCATGGATACTTCGTTTCTAAGGATACTACTCTTACTATACAATGTTGTTGTTTGTGACGAAGGTAGGACTACTATACAATCATGTTGTTGGTGACGAAAGTAGGAATACCAAAATATACAATCTTGTGATTTGTGACGAACGTAGGACTACTATACAATCATGTTGTTGGTGACGAAAATAGGACTACCAAACTATACAATGTTGTTGTTTTTGTGACGAAGGTAGGACTACTATACAATCATGTTGTTGGTGACGAATGTAGGACTACTAAACTTAACTGAACGCTGACAGGTATTCAAAACAGCGCCCTCGAAAGCCAAGTCCGGCGTTGGGCATCAGGCGTCAGGCATCAGGCGTCGGGCGTCGGGCGTCGGGCGTCGGGCATCGGGCGTCGGGCGTTGGGGTAAAATCTAAGGTAGGAACTAGACGCACATATCATCCTGTTCAGATAGGAGCCTGTTGCGTGCACCTCCGGAGTCAAGAACCTGGGGTTCTACCCTGGGATATTTAGCCTTATTCAACGACGTACAACAAGCTGAACTATGAATCATATCTACTTTGTGTGATTATGGAAACATGTTATTTTGAATAACTTGTGTGAAAATGTGACATGGTCAATGTAAAGGACCGGTTAATTCATCTCTGGGTAATCCTCTACCCTTTTGTATTCAAAGGGGCTGTGACACCCAGGACATCCCGCGTGGCAACACGCGAGTTGAATGAAAGTTGTTTGGGCTAAACAACCAGCGTTTAATAGAAAGAACAATATGGAATGAAACATATTTTGTATGCTCTTCATGCGAAGCTTTCGAATTTTTGTGTGTTTTATGAAAGGGATAACGGATGGCAATAAAAAAAACAAAGGCCACTTTTACAGCTAGGATAGAGCTCGCAGTGAGCAGTTAATAGAAATGGGCCGAAATGACACCAAAAAACCTACCTCGTCGATGTAAATTATAAGCGGAAACACATTTAAAGTTCGCAGGACAAACTAGGAGTAATTATTTTCTTGCAAAATGTCTAATTCCATCTAAATTCACCAAGAGAAACAAAATATCTTCGCCATTGATTGAATGAAGCTTTATTGTCTTGGCCTAGACCAATTGCTATACACATTTCGTGTTGATAGTCGGTACAAATGCGGACATGAAGTAATTGTCCTTTCCACGTTCGGTAAATACACTCAGAAAATAGCATTTATCGAGCTCATTGAAGCACCTGTGCAACCATCCGCCATTATTCCAATGTGCAAATAAGGCTAAAAATATCCCGTGTGTTTGGTTTGTTTACAAAACCGTGACATAGCGAGAAACCGTTAGAAGTATATGAAAATGAGGTAATCTTTCTACAAGAGTTGTTGACGGCAGAATTGCTAAATATTTTGACAATTAAACAAGACTCACCTGTTTAAGTCTCTTATCAGGGCATTCATCTGCAACTTGTCTTGCAAGTTTGACCACGTTTTGACTGTTTATAGCAATTAATTTTGCGGTGTCGATCAGTTCCTTCTTAGAGGACTGTTCCCCATCTTCTTCACTAAAAAATTAATATTACATGGTAAACAAGCTAATTAAGAAACAAATGGGAGACTCAGTCGAAATCAAGTAGTCGACATGATTCATCATCTACTTTAGTCCTTGTCTATTTGCAATAACATGCATTCTGGGGCATTGAATTGGCCTTCAGGCCATGGCGGGACACAGTTTCTATTTGTGTTGTTAGAACAGAGTAAGACCCTTGATGAACTTTTTGTAACCATCCATGTAGGTTAATGTAAAGAAACTGTATTGCATTCAAGCATAGCCTGCTAATAATCATGACGAAGGCCACGAGGAAAAACTGTAAAAAAACAGAAAATTTCCGTTACCACACCTAGACAACCCTTTTATTTTATTGTTTCAAAACAGGTTTCCAAAGGTTTCCAAAGTTTGAAGGAAGGATCCACAATTATCTGGACTTTGGGATTCCTGGGCAAGGGAACGTCTTGACGAATAAGTCAACTCCCGTCGTTGGTGTCAAAGAGCATGCGCACAGAGCTTTTGACTTCAAGGACGGGGGTGCTTCAAAAAGAAAAAACGGGGCCGCCAGGAGTTTTCCAAAAAATCGCCGTACAAGAGAGAAACACAAAATGGTACCTCACAAATTTGGACATTTTGGCAAAAAGTAAAGCGAGGTTCTTGGCAGCTTGGATGATCGCGTTTCCTTCCTCTGCCCATTTGGTTGCTTCAGAGTGAAGGTGATGCGCAGCAACCTAAAAAAAATGGCGAAAAGCTAACGTAAGTAAAATAGAACCAAGCAAGAAAGATTTTGAAACAAATCTAGGGTAATGAAAAATTATGACCCGACGTTTATACGAAGCTCATTGAGACTACCCTGAATTTCATTCATGTAGCAACACGCTTCTGAATCCTTCTGTAACCAATCTATGGATAACCCCAGTCTTACCACTACCTTTTTGTTTTCGTCAATACCTAGTCTTATCTGTACTATTTTAAAAGTTTTTTTTTTAATTCATCTACTTGTTGGTAAAAGAACCAAGTTTTTATGTACTGGTAACAGGGTAGTCATTGCAGTTTGCTCACCGTGGTTTCGTCCCTATATTGTTGTGTAGTTATATAATATATGAAGTACAGTATAATTCAACAAGTATTGTAATAAATTCTAAAATGATTAGAAGAAGAATCTGGAGCACCAGAAATTTAATACAAAGCCAATTTAGACCACCTTTGTCCAGCTGGCAACATGAAAACCTTAATTTCCCCTGGTTTTCCAGCTATCTTTACTTGTCCGAATAAAGATCAATGTGCCCGAAACATTCATAAACATGCCATGTTTGTCATTGTTGAAAAATGTATATCGAAATTTCTCAGAGGAAGCTACAGATTGAAAACACATTTATCAAGAATGTGAAGTGTTTCCAAATAATGATATACCAAATAAATACTGTAAAAGCTCTATTAAGCCCCCGGGGGCTTATTTTTTTTACTTCAGTCCTAGAGGGGGGGCTTAAAATAGAGGGGGCTTATTAGAGAGAGGGCGCTTATAAAAAATTTGAAGTAAAAAATGTTTTTAAAATGCTCTTGTCTATTTTGTTGTTATAAATTTTGTCAGAAAACTTCACTAGCAGCTTCGAAAGTTTAATTAATCACTTATAAGGTCCTCATCTTCATCAGAATCACCAGGATCAATTGATAACCCTGGGATATCTTCTAAACAAATTTCAACTGACTTCTTGGCGCAAAATTAAGCCTTTACATGGGTCGTATTTAATGCTCATCGCAACCGTCAAGAGACCCACTAAATGCGCATGTTTCTCTCGTTTGACAACAAAGGCAAAAGAGGGGGGAGGGGCTGAATAGAGAGTGGGGGCTTATTCTAGGTTTGGGCTTGATAGGGAGGAGCTTAATAGAGAGAGGGGCTTAATAGAGCTTTGACGGTATTGTATGTTACAAAGAACCTGATTAAGACTTACAGCCATTCGATTGTCAGCGGGCGGCGCTCTCAGAACTGCCTCGAATTTCTGTGCTTCTGAAGGCTTGATCGCCTCCTCGCTTGGAAGGGGTGGACGCGGAGGAGGTGGCCTGGATGGGCTGGCATCAGCTGTAACCAAAAAAGACTTGTTTGGTGCTGCTTCAAAATATTTTTTTACATAAAGAGCACAAGGAGACATATGGAGATGGGTTTGTAAATTAGATGGACCTTTGATGTTGAAAGCATAATGGAAAGAGCCATAATAGGCAGACACGACAAGAAGGGGGCTGGGAAGGAGATTGCCCAAAAAAGTTAAAACAAGTTCCTGACTCTAACAACAACAATAAAAAATACGTTGGTTATGTCGTCATCGCGGACCCCATATTTCCTTTTTCCCAGGCCCCAGAAATGCTCTCGGTGGGCCTTTTTAGACGGCTGTCAGACATGACACGAGCTGGCAAGTTTGCTGCAGTTTACAAGGGTAGCTTTGAAACGAGGGCAGCCAATATTTTCTTCCATATCTTGCCTAGCTTTCCTACCACCTTGAAGCTGAGGGCGATAATGTGAAGACGACGAATAAATACTTCTGGACGATATCGCTGATCCCATGCAGGATCCACATTGTTGCTGGTTGAAGTTCTTGTAGCAGTTTTTGCGTCAGTCATTTTAAACCAACTATCTCTGCATGATTTCGTGGGTGCGGTTTATAATCGAAGGCGGCTTACATTTTTAATGAACCCAATTTGCTGCGGCATATAACCGAGGGCAGCTTATACACAAAAGAGGCTATTTGAATAAATATGGTAGTAATGTGCAGAACGTGAAACAAAATCGTAATTGCTGCCCACAAACTTACAAATATTCAATTTTGAGATATCTGGGGCATCGGGTATAAACACCTTTCGCAAATCAGCCACTCCTTCTTTCAGCTAAAAAAAATTAAAGCCATTGTGGAGATGGTTTGAGGAGTCAAAATATAACTGTACAACTATCTATGAAGAATTAAAATAAAATAAATATATGGTACAATGTTAAAAATGTTTAAGGTATAATATTCTAAATAAAACCTAACCCAGCAATAATATTTTACATAATCTACAGTCGCATTCTACAGGATGTGCTCTTAATTCTTTTTTAAATGTTGCCAAAGATTTGGACTCTCTTATACTGTGAGGTAGTGTTTGCCACAGTTTCTGACCTAAATATCTCACAGTTTCTATACTATAAGAAGTTGTCTTGGCTTTTGGAATGCAAAGATTATTTTTAGTTCGCAAATCATAATGTACATTTCTTGTTTCAAAAATCTCACTCATGAAACTAGGGTTCAGGTTATGTTTGGTTTGGTATATTTCTATCATCAAGTACTGTAGATTGCGGTTGTGAATCGATACTGCATTATCCAATGTCAGCACTGCTTCGTAGTCAGCATGACTGTCTTTATAAACAATTCTGAGTGCTCTTTCGTGGATTTTGTTCACTTTAAGATTCAGACATCTGTCATGGAACATCCAAATAAGGGGGCAGTAGCTAAACTGACCTTTTATGACGCTGTTCATTAGGAGACGCAATTTATCAGAACCCATAAATGTCGCTATTCTAGCAAGGGCATGCAGTTTTTGGCTGGCTCTTTTGCATAAATTTGAGACGTGACTCTTGAAATTAAGAATTTTATCTATTATCACCCCTAGCAGTTTTTCTTCAGAGCTTTCTTCAACAATGGCCTCGCCGATTTTGATCTTAATGTCATCTTGGTTTGTTCCAAAAGTAAGAAGATGACATTTCCCTGCATTCAATTTCATAAAGTTTTCTGGAAATCACTTTGATAAAACAAGAGCATCAGTTTCTAGCCGTTCTAAAACTTTATCTAATTGACAGTCAGCTGCGAAAATCGTAGTATCATCAGCAAAGTTAAATTTTTTGTACAGTCAGCTAATTGGAAAGAAAAAAAACCAAAATGACTATTTTGTGCAAAAAATATTGTCCGTTAATTAGAGTGTCCGCTAATTGAGTGTCCGCTTTTGAGAAAGTTTTTCATGAGACTTTGACCAGAAAACGATCGGGGAAAAAAATTTGTCCGCTAATCAGAGATGTCCGTTAATTGGAGAGAATACCGGAAAATCATAAATTATGGAACCCGTTAAAAGAAAATTATTTAAAAAATTTGCAAAATATGGCATTCTGAAACTATTAGTACTTAAAGTTGGATATTTCTAAGCCCATTGGATATTGATGGATGTGAGGATAATATGAAAACTGCGGCTATTACAGGCGCATATGGGGGTAATAGGGTAACTGCGGCGATGACGTCACAAAGCCACGCTGGCCCAAACCGAACATTGCGGGATTTCCTTACCGCAGTTGCTTCCTTAAACATAAAATTTTCTGACGTCACATCTAGTAGAAAAAGTCTGGGAGGAGTTGCGTCTGTTTAAGTAATTACTGAACAAATATTGAAACCTGGCTTTGAATAAAAGCTGCTATGTACGAAACATTGAGACGCATTATAACCTGTTCCATCCAAAACAAACTGCCGTCATTTGTATAACTCTATAGCGTATTTAAGCCTCTCTTGGGAAACTTGAATAAACAACTTTTATCATACGTAAAACACAAGAATCATAACAAAACCTTAGGACCCTAAGTGAGAAAAGGATGCTTGTCCCTTGAAGAATTTGTTTAGTATCCTTATTCAACCTTAGAACTATTCAATTTTCCGTCAGTACCTGTCCATTGACCAGCAAACCCCCTCCCTGAATTTAGAGGTGATTCCCATGTGTAAGCATGTAAAATTCCGGCCACTTTCAGACGTAAAATCCTGAAAATGTGCGGTTAACACATTCAGTATGACAAGTAACAATTATCGTCAGATCCATAAGCCATTTCTAACAGTTATTTATGAAACTAATCTCTAAAAAAACCAGACAGGAGATAGCGGATAAAAAACTTTAGTCGGTAAGAAACGAGCCTAAACACAGCTTGCCAATGTTTCAAACTAAAAATCAGACCGTTTGACGTATTTGGCAACCAATAATTTTGTATCAAAGACATAAAATAATTATCAATTATTCAGAATTTCTGGCAGTTTAGATTCAAAATTATCAATGAAGTTTAGTAAATACAAACCTTGAACCCAGAGCAAGCAAAGTACATTTTGCGAAATTAGATTGCAAAGAAGCACTCCAAGTTAGCGAACAATTCACGTAGCTTGACATCGCTTATAGGTTAATAAAGTCATATTTAGTAAGACTAACGGGAATCCTTCAATGCTTCACGACAAAAATTTCAGACAACCTGCTGCGCATGTTTTAAAAAACAACTTAATTAAGTTTATGGAAACGTTCTGCTGATTCTGAAATTTAGCAGTCAGGGGCTGAAAACATTCAATATACGATTTATGAATTATTAATTTCATTCATAACTGTTATATATTATTCAATACTCTTAAAGAAAAGATAAGACCAATTTGTTCAGGTCTTATCAATACTTTCAATCCTTGTATTGAATACAAATATTTCCTTGATCGTCCTATTTTGTTGGTATATGTTTCATTTGCAGACTTCTCTCAAATGTCATTCAACATTGGTAATTACAGTACTCACCATTCAACACTCTTATGAAAATATTCGTCGTTTACAAGAAAAAGGAGGTAAATGGAAGATAAATCAACCAGAATTATAATGTCTGGTTTTATTCTGTCTGCTACCATCGTGTCTGTGCTTTGTTCTTCCAAATGAAGCAGACGACTTTTTTTAACTTTATAATGACTCTGTCTACTGTACGGCATAATTGTGATTGTTTCAAAAAGATTGGGCCTATTAATGTTATTCAAACCAAAATATGATTTTTTCATTGTCTTCGTTAAAACCCCTGCTTATACAGATGTCTGTTATCATTAGTAGCTAGAAACATGCTTGATAAACTGTTTCAAGTTTAGCCTGGATAGCGGGACTGTGGTTGGACAATCCATTAATTATGCACATAAATCATGGCCCTGATGTCCGATCTCTCTTTAAAGCTTACAGCTTGTTTTAGATCCCCAACTTACCTTAGTTGCTGCTCTCAAATAGCCTTCCTTTGCAGCGGCATCATTTGGGTTCTGCGCAACAGCCTTTGCACTGAGAATCAATGGCGAAACACCTAGAAACAAAACAGCTGATTACATACCTTCCAACTTTTACATTTCAAATGCCAAAGCATCACAAATGACAACGCATTTAGAATAGTTGGGCCAGCAATGAGTCGTTTAGCTGCCTTCTGACTTCTGATGGCAATCCTCACTGTCTCCAAAAAGTTTCTCTCACCTTCATTTTTTCAGGTTAATAGCTGCTAAGACATTTTCCAAGGAAAGGGGCAAACCACAAAAATGAAAGATCAAGGCAGTAGCAAAACAAAATTTTGAATTTTCTTATGTAAAACGGGCATCATCCATTCTATTCCTCCTTACACTTAGAAAAGTGTTTTCGCCCTAAACAAATAGCCTTATTAAAAATTTACAAACTACAAATTAAATTCAAACCCTAGCCAACCCAAGAAGACGTCTAAACTTTATATATACCCTACCCTTATGGGAACGAAAGGCGATAAAAAATTTGGTGGCAGTGACCCACAATGGTCTCTAAGACATTTGTTTCAAAATCTATGATGTCATATTCTCTATATTTATCGAAACAGAATAGCCAGTTTACTTATTCCAAGGGTCCGTGAATAATCTTACAAAAAGCCATTTCCTTCCCTGTCACCTTTAAACGATGGTTTTTCAACATTTAAACTTTTTAAACATTCATGCTAATGTGCGGCCAAGTAATCCAATTGATTCCACAAAACTAAAAATAAAAGTGTTAAAGTTCACATGTCCTCTACACCAAACCCAATTCTAGTCCCCTTAAGCTAAGTCCAGGACACCATACAGACCTTACAGACCTGGGTTTTTCTGATGTGTTTTTATAGATCTAAATAGAAAGGTTTACCACCAATATATTTCTAGGCATTTTAATGTCTCACTAGTTCGTTGACTTCACTTGATAATGCCCCGTATGACGTGGCGAAGTATCAGTTAACTTTATTGTTAAATTTTTGTATCACCAACTTTGATTATATCTATACTAGATTGGTATTCTTTTGCGTTGTTCCTTTCTATCGCATACTTCCAGCCATTGCCAATCTTTCTTCCAAGGCTTAAAACGTATAAACACAGCGGTACAAAATAAAGGCATGATCTGAGCTTTAGCAGGATCAAGAAATAAATTTTCCTGCACCTACGCCTAATAACATTCAATTCAAATAAATTTTCCTGCACCTACGCCTAATAACATTCAATTCAAATAAATTTTCCTGCACCTACGCCTAATAACAGTCAATTCAAATAAATTTACCTGCACTTTAAATATCATTCAGAATTCTTATAGTACACAAGACTTAACCGCATATATAGGAACAAAGGTTAGCCGATAAAGTTATTTAAGTCTTGTAAATCCTACAATTTTTAATACCAAACTAATTTAATATTTTTAGCTTCTCGTTGAATATAAACATTGTCCTTCCGGCCTAAAATTAAAACAGAGAGGACGGCAGGAAATTTACGGGTGGGAGTGGTAGGCTACGCCAAACCTAAAGGTGGTTAATATCACAGAGGGGGGTTCGCTCTTACTTACGTTCTGACAGTTGTTCCGTAGCAGCTCCTACTTCGTTCTTGAACTTAGGATCGTCCAGGTTTTCAACCTCTCCTCTGGCAACTTGAACGATGCGATTGGTACAGCGAGCGATTCGAGAGCTTTTTGTAAGTAGCAGCTGAAAAAAAGAGAGTTAATTAGGCTTTACTAGAACAATAACTACAACAATAATTATAACAATAAATATTCCAACTTACCTTGTCATCAATAGCACCATTACTTTCATTAGCAGTATTACTACCACTATTATTATCGCTATCACTATCACGAGTACTATTACTGCTACAATTTCTTTCACTATTACTACCACATTTAATATCACTATTACATCAAAGTCCCTATAACTATCAAAATACTTGCTATAATCATTATCAATATCACTACCACTAATACCATCACCATCATTACCTCTTTCACTATAACAATTACCTGTACAACTATTATGACTATTGCCACAACTTCACTATCACTGTCACTATCACTGTCACTATCACTGTCACTATCACTGTCACTATCACTGTCACTATCACTGTCACTATCATGAATACTATTATTACTACAATTGCACTACTATTACTGCCAAAAATTAACATTAATATCACAATAACATTACTGCCAAAATCAATACCAATATTACTAACCACTATTACTATCAGTATCATTATAACTTTCATTGTTACAATTACTGCTACTATACTATAACTACTATTACTGTTATAAACCACCATTACTATTATAAACAATATGACAATTAATACCACTATTATTTTTTTTATATATCCATTAAAAAGTTACAATACATAAATACAAGCTACGCTACTTACAAATTTACTTTACAATACTACTCGGACGATACCCCGAGGAGCAAAAGACTATGACTTCCCCGGGGCCATAGACACAGAGGTTAAAATAAACTACTATAATCTGTCTCAAATTACATGCCACGACTAAAAAAAGAGAAAGGAAAAAAGGAACATGGGAGATGGTGGCTGTGGTTACACAATTAATCTTACTGCTACAATTACTATTAATACAACTGCCATCATTGCTGGCATTATCACAATATTACTGTAACTATTACAATTACAATTACAATCGCTATCACTATTGCTATCACTATCGCTTTCACTATCGCTTTCACTATCGCTATCACTATCATTCTCACTATTACTACGTACGTATATCTTTAAAAAGACATAATATTATCTTAATCAGCGTCAATAATAAGATTATATTAGAAAATTTTCTAAAGCAACATAGGCCTATAAATAGTTGTCATATTAGTCAAATTTAAGGAAACAACAAAACAGAATATCTAACGGGAAAATGAGATGACTTTAACAAAACCAACTTTGAGCAAAATGTCTCAACAACACCTATACTAAACCTAAACAAAACAATAACCATAACTTGTTATGAATATTAGAAAACTTATCTAGGGCCTAAAACATAAAGCTACAACAAAATCTAGAGTTTTTAAGAAAAATCCAACGAAAATTAGTACATCTGAACGTTTTTGGCAGAGAAATGTTTACAAATCACCAAAAATGTCTCGCCTTGTTTCCCAACATTGGAGAGTTTTGTCTATATTTTGAGAAAAAATTGAATTGTTCCAGAAAAAGGTTTATGTGTTAGTGAAATGTTTGGAAAACAGTTACGAAAACATTAGCACATTTCTTATAGCAACAGTTGTTCGGTTTCTCTATCGCAGCTGACTGTTAAATAATTTCAAAGGAAATTTTGATAAACACGGGTTTTCTTGAGTTTCAAAACTTACAAAGCTAGGTCATGTAGAACTATCTGTTTTAGGGGGAGTGGTCACCTGTATCAGCTAAAAACTGCTAGCACAAGGTTTCTCAAGAAACATTGGAAGAAAACCGTAAGATAAACAAAAATTAGGTTTTCATGTGTATACCCCCTGGAAGCACAAACATACGTTACAACCAGTTAGGCATTTCAATAATGACGAAATCCAGTATCGAAAAATTAAACTTACAGGCAAATTTCCTTGCTTCAAGGCAATTTCGGCAGCTTCGCAGTCCTTTTTGATGACATCCTCTGTAAAAGAATACGAAATAACCTTGAACATTTTGGCTTTCCATTCACTAAGAAGTCTGGATCGTTTAATTTGAGGGATAATAAACAAACACTCTAGGGTATATGAATGTGCTACAGGACAACTGAGAAAGCAAGTTAACTTTGTTTTCATTAGATGCAAACAGCAAGGCGTGGATTGGAGTCAAAACATGGAAACGTTTGAGTGAAAAATAAACATTTTTCGTTATAATACGGAAAGTAGCAATACGAAAATGATAAAATAATACCGCAGATTCAAAAAAGATGCATAGATTTTGAACAAACTTTGGGTTTTCCGAAAATTCAGCTGCATACAATAAACTCGAAATCACATGAAATCACATGAAATCACATGAAATCACATGAAATCACATGAAATCACATGAAATCACATGAAAAAGTTTGAAATCAGTAAACAGGGCCCATAATAGCCTACTTGCAGTGGTTTTAAATTGCTGCAAAAACTTCTTCTCAGATCCTTACTCGCTCACTCAATTCTGTCTATTTCCGTAATTACATTGCAGACCAATAGCAGTCCAGTAAAGGCAAGTGCTTTCAATACATGCATTTTGTTGGACACTTAATTCTAACGCAGGGCAGTAGAGCATATTAAGAATCAGAGAAGAGGAGGGGCTAGATCGTTCTCAATATAACTGTAGGAAATTATAATGCAAAAGGTGGCAAAAAGTAAATTTTGGGCATATTTAGAGAGGGAGGGGGTCTCATGCCCAGCTGTCCATCCATTTTATGAGATCCCTGTTCTAAGATTTAGACTGTACACCATTGATCTTCGTGAACTAACTTCTGTTCTTCAAATAATAATTGCCAAAAATAGTTACGACTATAAACTTCTTTCGATTATACGTTGTACGATCATACGTTTCCTCTTTCTGATGTGAGAGGCTGTAACCCAAACTCTGCGGAGTCATATCTACCCCTTTAGGCGACTACACTAATTTCATGTGGCTATTGGATATACCGCTTTCTTTGATGAAATCCGAGGCATCTGTTGCCATGTCAACTAGTCCTGTCAGTTCTTCGATCTGATCTTTCCATTCTTCCTTGAGCTTTTTGAAGTTTTCAGCAGCCGTTGGGTCGCCATTACTTGCTAGAAGTAGCTTGCCCGCATGTGAGATTTGTGGAGTCAACATTCGGATCTACAAAAGTTCACGAAAATACCGAGGTAAAGGAATGCTAGATAAAATATTGGAAAGAAAAAAGTGACAGAAATAGGCGGGTTTCAAATAAGATGAAATTAATCCCTTAGGCTTGAAAATCAATTTTTAAAGAAGAAGAATTACATGGATAAATTTTGTTTTGCTTCAATTCAAACTATGCTGACGCTGAATATGATAATAATTTCAAAAAACAAAGTGGAATTAGAGAAAATCAGATTCAATAGGTTCTAACAGAGCTGGAAGTACAAAATATCTAAATGTGAAAGCAGAATCACCTCTCTAACTTTGGACTTGATTGTATCCTTCAAATGGCGACTGGTGGAGCCGCCAGCAGAGGCCACCTGTTCCGCGGTATCTGTCATAAGCTTACTCGAGTGCTCAAAAGCGCCAGCCCTCTCTTCAAAATCAGCATCTCGGTTCGGTTGACCTGTGGATTGCAATGACAGCGATAAAAATTCAACGAGCATTACAGTGACAACCCGTTACAGTTAAAATAAGATACTACCCAAAATCCAAAAGTTTGAAATTGCACTCTTTGCACCAAGTAAATGACAAAATTTTAAGTCTGATACCCTAACTGGTCTCCTGATAAAGGGGTATTTCATCAAGAAATAAAGTCAATATTGGGCAGATCAAAACCTTTCATCGATTCCAAAATAATTCACCCAAAACTATGCTTGGCAGGGTCTTTTGATATAAACTTGGCAAGCTTCCTGTAGAACTGGTAGATTCAAGAATATAAATAAATTTAATTCAAATGCAGATTCACAGACTTCTTCTAGCTGCAATTGTTTACACTACTCTATATTCTAGCTAGATCCACTTTGCAGCTTTCAGTCTTTCTGCAATACGCTCCTTGTCAAATTTAAATAGAGTTGCAACTATTTTCAGTTCACTGGTTATGTCGTTAGAACTTGCAGGTCAGAGGTACAAGACTTTGAATAATTGTCCAAAACGAATTAGGCCTGATTGGAGTTCCAGTGCTGATAAAAGAAGTGTAAGCATGGCACAACAATACACCTGAACCATTCACGTCGATTATTTCCAAGTAGACTAAAAATGTATAAAAGATTATGTAAAGATACAGCATGAATAGCAAAGGTTTTAACAAATTAAGCTTCAGAAAGGGTATAGAATATTGGTCAAAGTACATCCAGATCATTTCCTATAAATAAAAGAATGAACAAGAAGACATGGTTCATCAAAAGTATTTGGTTATAAACGATATGTACCTGGAGGTGCATTTGCAGCTTTTTCAAGTGCATTCAAGTGCCCAACTGGGTCCATGTAATGTTCAATCACCGACCTAACAGCTGCCTTCTGGATGGCATTCTGCAGTTTTTCCATTTCCACTTTCAGCTGCTGGGCAATCTTCATTGCCTGAGGAGTATGGCCCTGAAATGGGAATTAAACAGTTCACAATCAGTAAAAATGTACTAAATTCCAAATTTACTCACTAGCATTCTAATTATGTTAAATGTAGGTAGTTTCAAGCAATCTAATCAAGTTCAAAGAAAATGTTATATACGAGTATCGCATTAAACGTGAAACTATGGAAAGCGACTTAGAACCGCCCTCTTCTATGCACCTGAAGTGAGAAAGGTATACCTCTATGTATTGCCAAAATACGACGAAACAGTTTAAGACGGTCTAGATTCTCCTACTGTGGATATCGATGAATTATCTCTTGCATCTGGGAAAATTATTGGAAGGGATTTCAAAGGAATTTTGAAATGGTAAAGTAAATAAATTTTCCAAAAAATTTAGAGCTCCTTTAAAAAAATCTGTTTACAGTGAAGCATCTTAGGAGCGGATGCACGAAGAATTGGAGTTGCTGCCCGATATAATGAGGTGTCTGTTGTCTACCATTACGTAATTTGACCGTGGGGATAAATTTTATGGACAAGTTATTCGTCAATTATTGCTGCTGACTGACTGATTGTACTGCTCTTTAGAAAGATCATGGAACAGAGACATCATAGCATTCTTGAAAATCAACTTAAAGAAATCAAAAAGAGTAAATGTGGATAGAATGGACTAACCATTCCCCTTGCTTTGAGATCTGCGAGCTCTTTTGTTAATCTTTGGACATTGTCACAAGTGGCTAGCAACTGGTGTCTCTCTGGACCTTCGAGTGTCTCTGCCAATTGTCTGCCCTCCATCAACAAAACAGAGACAGCCCTTTGTCCTAGAATCATAAAAAAATCATATGTAAATTTCATATCAAATAGTTCATTGAGTGTTCATGGATTTTTTTGACAAGGTAAACATAAAGTCAAAAGATGCATTTATCAAATACAGATAAAGCCCTATCATATAAACTTGTAAACATTGAGAAAGCGAATTGTAAACATTGAGAAAGTTGCTAAGAGAAGTTACAAACCAACTAAAGGAGAAACCTGATTTCGCACAATAATAAATCTAGGGATGAAAATCATTCAATTAAAGCAGTTTTAATAGAAGATGAACGTGTTCTTAAATAAAACTGTAAAGGCTAAGCTAAAACCAGTGTTTTAGGCCATTGGTTTCAGAACACCAAGATTTGATTCAAAGCGACAAGACGTTATATCTTTTGATGCTAACTATGACATTATTATGTAATATTTGAATTCTTCCCATCTTCCGTGGGTAGTATTTCTTTATGCAAAGACCGGACAAACGAGCAAGCAATTTAGCCCTGACAGGAGGGATATCTCTATGCTACTGCCGGGAAGACAAACAACTAAGTCAGCCCCCCTTTCAAATGCCGTCATAAAACAGGTGTAGCAGCGATTCCGGGCCCATTGGGCAGACTGCGTACAGGGGGGACAGTTCAGACAATGATAAACTACTTGTTCGTCTCCCAAAGTGACAATGTAACTCTCACCAATGGCCGATTTCTGTCCAGTTGGATCATCGATCCACATCAAAGCTTGTTCTAAACGTGCCTTTGTTGTTGGTGCAGGCAGCTTCTTGCCACTTGCTGCTTCCTTGGAAATGGCATCATCTACTAATACCTGCAGGTATTCCAGGCGCTTGCCTATTTCTTCAGCCAACCGCAAGGCTTCTGGGCTGTTACCCTTCAGAAAAAAGGTATATTCAAAAAAATTTTCTTCAATATCAGAGAGTTTGATATTCAAAAGAGAATTTACAAAAGGAAATGTTGTGGAATCTGAAATAACTTTAACACAGTTCTCAAAACCAGATGATAAGTATTTCAAAAAAGGACAAGCCATTTCGAAACATGGATTTAGCGTTTCAGAGTATAAAAAGCGGGACTTTCCAAAACGTTACGGAAATTCATTCCCAGGTACAGATTGAACGAAACAAGCGAATTAATAACGAGATTTACTATCAATTAATCCCGCCTATTAAAGAGGGCAAAAGCGAAAATAAAATCTATCTTTTCAAGGCAAACCTGAACTTTTCATACAAACAGATTATTTCCTAATGGTCTTTAAAATGCCGTAAAAATTTGACGCATTCTGCATATCCGAGGTAACGTTGTCCTATAACTAATTTTACTTGAGCATGGTAATTTTTACAGATCCTGGCTGTTCACTTTCTGGTAGAGAGATACATACTGTTTTTTCAATAGTCCCTGAGTACTACGGCCAACTAACTGATCGTCACGGAGATTGTTAGAAATCTTAACTTTTTCAATAGTAACAAGACAAAATTTTTTAATAGCTGACAGCATAACGCTAGAAATATAGACAACATGAGGCGTTAGAGTGTAAAAGCAACAATTTGTAGCCATTACGAATATTTAACTTCATAGTTTGATCATTTATCAACAACTCGATTTATTTTTTAGTTAACAAGACACTTTTCCGAATAAAACTTATTTCGATTGAAAAATTAGCAATTTTTCCACTAAAACGGCTAAAACAGGGACAAAAAGAATTTTGGAATCTAGGTTCATTTTGAGCAAAGTGTCCTTTAAACGAAATTTTAAACTTGTCATGAGCCATCGCTTCGTTTTTCAACATAAGTCCACCTATTTCTTGGTAAAGCAATGCCTTGCGTCAGAAATCCGATGATCTAGACAGAAGGCTTATCCATTCTGTCCGCAGACCCTCGGACTTAAGCCGCAAGTTATTATCTTCAAGCTTAAATAACCAAAGGGCACACTAACCTGACCACGAGCACGGTAGGCCGATAGGTTGTCCATGAGCTGATCGAGTTCTGTACATACTTTGTTGATTCGTGGGTCATTGCTCGCTTCACCCACTGATCTGGCCTGTTTTAGAATGTCTCGTATCGCCCTTTCGCCTTGGTAACAAACAAAAATAAAATAGCATTGTCAGTTCTCTGAGAACGAAAGAGGTGCAAAAGTGGAAAGATTTTGATGTTGATTGAAGTATAAAAGACGATATTTTAGCATAATGCAAGCAAAATAATTTAATATACATAACAGATTTATACAAAGGAGGAAGGGTATCTGTGGCCTACAAAGGGGAATGGCAAAGGGGAATGGCAAAACTGCACATGAATGCTGAAAATTCCAGCTATATACAGTTACTTGTGAAAACGAACCATAACTTTAACACAGTTCCATGTTTAATCCATTGTCAAATTTCTAGAGCTTATCCATCCGTAACGTTAGAGCTATATAGAGTTCTAAAGTGTGACGTCATCAAAAACCTATTTTTAGAATTTTTGAATTTTAACCACATAGCGTAAATGATCATTATGAAATACTTTCAATTAAGCAAAATTGGCCAAATATGTCTAAAATCGGTTGAGATATGGCTAATGAAAGATTTGAAGTTTGCTAATGAATCACTGTTATTTTGGCTCTGTTCATAAAGTTATGTAAAGAGACCAAAATACAGAAGTTTGATGGGGAGAGAACCAATAAACATGTGGCCATATCTCTGCCAATTCGTAACAAACTTTCCTGATTTTGCAAATTTAGAGGTATTTCATGTTGCTCTTTTAGGTTATGGGATCCAAATTCAAAAATTCTCAAAATAGATTTTTGTGACGTAATCACTTTAGAACTCTATTGCTTTTGATGGAGAACTTGACCAGAATTTCTGGTTTTTATTTTAGGAAGGTATCAAATACAGGTCCCACGCCACCGATTGTAAAGTGGGGGGGGGGGCAAAAAAGGGGGGTTACCTATTTAATACCTAAAAGGGGGATTTAATATCTATAGTTAGCAAGAAAAGTGGGGGCATGGCCCCTCAGACCCCCTGTGCCACGGGCCCTGAAATAGCAGTTTAGGTGCAGTATGTCTGGTTCATGGGTGATTGATGATGGTTGATGTGTATTTTGAAAAGTGAACCGACTGAAATTTGACAGTTGTCATCAAATAACAAAAGGGACAAATTTCTTCTGTTGACAAGATCCAAACAAACAATTTTAAAATAAATAGATATTAGTATAAAAAAGACAAGGAGCGAAGGATACTTTAACAATGATCTTACTCACCAAGGCCATTGGCATCAGCAGATGGGTTTGACAGCCAGTCCCTAGCCTGATCCATTTTGCCAACAATGATTCCTTGTGCCTTCCTCATTTCTGTTGTTGGATCCTCTGCTTCTTCTTCATCATAAACTTTCAACTGTAAAACCCTCATTATTTCCAAAATGTCATCAATAATTCTGGTTATCAGAAAATTCCTGTTTTCCTGAGCTTCAGCCCTACCTTGGCCACCTGTTAGAGAAAAATGATTAAAAAAGTTACCAAACAGAAAACCGTCATCAATTACTTTTTGCAAGAGCAGGGAAGAGATGAACCCAAAGGAATACACCTTATCAAATAAGATCAAATTCTAAAAAAAATCTAAAGACTCCAAATTGAAAAAAATACATATTTAAAAAGTGGAAGCAAAATAGGCAGTTAAAGATGATTGGAAGACATTTAGGGGGAAAATGAACAATCATGGAAGGTCAAAAATTGAATTTATTGTCACTTCTGCACCAATGCTTTCCCTTTAACTGGATGCAAGCTCCTATATAAGTCCATTAAAAATGTGATGCAATACAAGAATAAAATAAGAATTTCACTCCTAAATCTGATGATTTGATAGAACTTTCAAATCATTAAAGACCATTAAAGAAAGCTGCATTAAAGAGCCACTGTCAACCAACAAGAAGACGCTATATTTTACAGGGTCTTCTTTGTTTATCAACATTGCACCTGCTCAATTTCTTGGTTTTCTGTGTCAAAAAAAAAGAATGCGTAGTTGTGTAATTTTTGAAGTGCTGGCATTCTCAAATTAATTTCAAATTCCATGTAACTTGCATAGGTATTAAGCTGTATCCAAGGACATGATTATATGGAATGTCTAATAACAAAAAAGCAGTTTCACATATCCCTATAGCTTTCATCATGAAAATTGCTTTCAAACCTAGCAAATAACAATATATTTTGTCTATCTCAGTCGAATCTGATGTGGCATCAGCAACTTCGTTTGTTTGTTATGTTTGCCTTCCTGGTGTAATTGCGCATACTTTATTTTCTGACACAGAAATTCATGAAATTGAGCAGGCACAATGTTGATAAACAAGGGAAGAGCCTGTAAACTATAGAGGCTTCTTTGTTGGTTGACAGGGGGTCTTTAAGACACAGCTACTGAGCTTAGCAAAATTAGATAAAAACCAGATAACACTAATCAAAAACATACCTCTCTCTAATGTTGTAACAAATGCTTTCATTGCTGAGATAAGAAGAGGTAAGGTCTTCTTTACACTTGTTGTGTGTTTAATGAGCAAGTCACGATGAACTTGGTGAGTAAGGTCGGCTTGTCTACCATCAACCATTTTACAAGTTTCTGTAACACCAGGTGTGAGGTTTTTCACAAAAGTAATAAGATCAGGCATTGTTTCGACAAGTTCAGAAACTCTCAGGTATTCAAGTAGTGACTTGCATGACTTTAGAATCTTTCGGACTTCTGCATCATCAAAAGTGAGCAACAAAGTTGATGTCCCAGATAAGATGCCTTGAAAAATCAAATAAATATAGAGTGAAAGTTAAATATTTCAATTTTGTCTTTCATTAAGAGTCAAGCTGCAAAAACATCAATGGGTTATTTAGTCAAGTACAATATGAAAGTGATTATAAAAGATACTAACAGACACAATATCTTGCTGGAAAAAAAAAACTTTTTCAAATCAGTTAGTGTCTCAAAAACAGGACTTTATATCACAATCCTTTTTGCAATAAAATGGAATACTATACTGCATCGAGAGCGAGCAAAAACAACAACAAATATATACATTATTAATGTATATATTAATGAAATTAATCATTAATTTTGCCAAGCATACAGTGTTTCTTCAGAGGAATATATTGTCTTGGCATACTGCATATTATCAAGTACTTTTTTTCTATCTTATCCAAATATATATCCTAAATCAAATAAAAATATGATTATTTTTACTTTTTTCTCCTTTCTTTTGATAAGCATTAATCAGCTTTTAAAATTCAATCTAAAGCATACATTTCATGTAGCAATAGGCTAGTGCATTAAGATTCTCACACTAACAAGATTAGACTTCTGGTCACAAAGTCAAGTTAAAAATAAGATGATTGTCATATTAGATTTACCAAATAAAACTGTGACGTGTTTCCTACAAGTATGCTAAGAAAAGCTCACTTATTGAAAAGTTCTGCAAACACAAATAGCCTGATGGAAAAATCTGTTTAAGGACTTATTGAATCAAGTGCATTACCTCTGGCACCATTGATCAACTTCTTTTTAGCTTCCTTTGAAAATGGGTCCTGCTTCAGGAGAATACTTGCTTCAATAAGAAATTTGGATGACTCCTCCACTCTTTGAAAAGCAACAGGCATTTCCTGTTTCAAAACTTTGTCTTTGCTTTGCTTTAAAGTTTGTTGACCAACCTTGCAAAAACAAAGAGTTTTGTGACACACATCAAGGACTCGCAAAGAAAAGTTTCAACATTGGTACAAAAATCCATAATACTCTTCCATTTTCATAAGCAGCTACAAAAGAAATATAATAAGTACATTTTAAAGAGTATAAAAAATCACTCACAACTATAAGATGCTGCACAGCAGCTCCAACTGCTTGGATTGGCACACTGAGATCTGGAATGGGGGTGCCAGACTCTGATTCTTCATGGAGAATGACAAGTTGTGATACCTGGTTTAATAGTAAGAAATATTTAAAAACTCTAGAAAAAATAAGATAAACACATAGCAAAACTTGCTGTAGGCTGGCCAAGGAGAAGCTCAATGGGCTTGATATTTGGGGCATTATGATTCAAAGCAAATTGTCAACAATTCACAACATGGGCAAAATTAGTTGGCATTGACCTATACTGTGTTTCAGGGCATTGTGTTTGCCCAATTATCAATATCACTTTGTCTAAGTGATTATTAACTCTAGGAATTGAAACCCCTACCTTGCATGCTTATGGCCCACAATAATTATCAGACCAGCCACTACACTAAGCCCCAGACCAGTAAGGAATGTAGTATTTTGAAAAGGGCAAGAGGTCCTTTGCAAAAAATCCTAAAATTGCAATTGTAGGGAAAAAATTGCAAAAAAGAAAATGCTATTTTCAGGATCATAAGGAGGAAATGGACATCTGATGTTTGATGATGATGATGAACATCTGATGATGAACAGGAAATCCTATTGCTAAAAATCTCATTGACAAAAAAGTCACCAAATTAAGAAGTGCTAATGGACAAAGTGGAGGATAGACAAAGACAAATGTTTTCCTCTTAGTGTTCCAGATAACGAAACTCAAATACTTCTATCACAATAAAGAGATAAAAATTTCCTTTTGGATGGTAAGATGAATGGCAGATGAGGGCTTCAAAGATTAAATGGATAGGCTTAAAATCACACCATAGCATCAAGAAAGGTATTGATTAGACCAAAGTGGAGGACAATTGTATCCAGTCTGGTAACAGATGGAACTTGATGCTGATGAAAAAAGGGGGTCAGTCCCCAAAAAATTCCCCTAGGTCTACACCCCTAACTATACTGTATAGATGGGGTATGTTATTTTCATTGAAACATTGCACACACAAAGAAAGAGTCCATGAATTGATTAAAAAAAGGGACTACAGCTGGCGAGTTAATTAAGATTGTGGTTAACTGGTCTGTTGCAAAGTGTGTGATCTTATATTGACAACACTGTAACTATTATTCTATGTAGTGTAGAACAGGACAACTTGATTGTCTGTTTGTACCAAAGCATATATAAACGAAATCCCATCACAACAAGACAAATTGCGGACTTACCTATTAAATTTTTTATGTTGTCTGTTAGCAGTAAAAATCATAAGAATGGGATGCAGACTTGCTTTTTACAATATCAAAAGTCTTTGTCAAATTTCTTTCAACAAAACAACTACAACTTGATAAAATATTGATGAATTTGTCTTAAGAGGATTTCATGATATAACTGTCTGTAATATATGATACAGGGGTGTGGAAAATAGGGGGCCAATGGAAGCCAGTGCCCCCTCTTGTCCTGAAGAAATTTATGAAACCCTATATCTTGTCAAATGTTTTGCCAAGAGATCTAAAATTGATAAGACAAATAATATAAAGATAACTCTGCAGAAATATAACACTTCATATGTGACAATAATAGGATGAAAACTTATCACGGGGAATCTTTTTATTGCTGACAGGTCTAAATAAACCGTTACACCTTCTATTTGTTTGCATTTATAACAAAGAGTTGGGAGGGCAAGGGCCCATATTTGGAAATGTTATGAACAAACCCACTTTCTACGGATTTCAATAAGAAAATTTTATTTGATTGTAAAAATACTAGGATTATAGATTGCCATATCTAAATTGGCAGATATGATGTGATAAAGTATTTGCATTTTCCAAACCTAATCCATTTTACGCGATAAAATTGTACGCCACAAAAAACTTTGATAAAACCTGCTGGGATACAAACATAATATTTTGCACTTACGATAAGCATTAGTTAGACTGTTGTAAGATGAAAATTTCAAGATAATTTAGGCAAAATGAATTATAATTTGTTATGGCAATATAAATAAGGCAATTTTCTAGTAGAGTCAATGCTCTCCGAAAAAATTGGCCACGGTTGGAAGTGCCTTGCCCCACCAAACCTTTATATAGGCCCATGCCCTTGTTACTAGGACTAGGAGGACAATGTTCTGGAATTGATGTCAACCTCAGCTTGATATTTATTATTTCTTAAATTTTAAGTCATTTAACAAAGAAATACCTGCTGGGCAACTGGCTCGAGGATTGCCTCAATGGTTTTCGTGTGGAACACTGGCATCTTGATTCTCTTCACTTCAATACTACAGACAGCTGTACATGAAAGCAATCCTCTTGAGGGGAATTTGGCTTCACATACGACTTGCAAAATTCAAATCGACCCTGCTTTGTTTGTGGCAAACCACTCTAATGAATTTACCGTCGAAATTATTGTGCTATTGACACGATTGTCAACAGAGACTGCTCCGCCTAGAAGCCATGCTTCCTACCAATATTCTAATCAAAAATGTCATTATTCTCAAGCTCAAAATAGGGGTGACTACATATGTGCATTGACCAAGCAAGACACCACGACATCGATTATCATCTCAGCAATAAGAAACATGGTTTAACTTTAAAGATTCTATAAAATATACAAGATTGCGTGCGGTACAATATGATGCTATTATAACGATCAATGTAAGTAAATTGTACCAGGAATTTTTTTTTAAAGGTTAAAAAAAGAAATTATAATAAAAATAAAAATAATTTTTAAATAATTATTTTAAAAAACCTTTTTGCTGGTAAAATTTACTTACATTGATCGTTATTATAGTTTAAATTTGTTAACTTACTATAAACTCAAGTGACAAATTATTAACTCTTAATATCTATCAGATGAAGTTTGTGGACAAATGATTGCAAAGATTTGTCAATTTTCAATATCAAGAAGAAATGTTAGCACATTGAAAAACATTTGAAAAGATTACAACAAAATTAGAAGAAGCATGAATTTTAACTTGAGAAAGCTTTTGTTGAGGAACAACCCTGTTGTCCTCGTTACTTTGCATGATCTGTGATCTCCGCTAAAGCCATGACACCACTAGACATGTTTTGCTCATTTAAATTTTGATTGTTGTTGTTGCCCCGCCCAAATTCTTCCAGGATACAATTTCCTCTCCACGATCAATGGGATATCCTAATTTTGCGAAGGGGAAATTTTCGAAGGTATGAATATAAATCTAAGAAATATCACAGCTCTTTAACATTCTAAAAAAACAAAATAGCATTATAAAATAGAAATTCGTTCACTCAGGTTTTTGTTTTACAATTCCCTCCTAATTCATAAAGGCACCATTTTGTGGAAAATAATTTGAATTTATTTACACTATCTATTTTTTCATTTTTATTAAGCAAAATTTCAATTTCAAGATTTATTTTGTTAAGCTGAAATTGTCAACAAAAGCTTTTATTTGTAAGCCTTCAAGGTTAAAAATCCGACTAAAATTCCAAGCTTCCCAGAACAACAGCTTGTGAATTCCGATTAAGGCCTCACCCAAAATTAATCCAAACCCACACACTTCATTATACCTTTAACCCACATACTTAAAAAATGTTGGCATGGGCTCAACAGGTCTAGTGTGGCAAAATTCTCAAGAAGTATCCGGTCCAGTTAAAAAGCAACACAAACACAGGAACCAAACCAACTTGAATAAGGAAATTTTGTTACATTATAACTTCATCATGATTTGCCTTGTTTTACTCAAAAATTCGAAAATTTGCACTGCTTTGCTTTCCTTTCTGAAGGTTTGTACACTAAGGTGGCTAGAGGCTTTGAAAATTTCCCAAACATGCCCAATTTTAGGCCACGCCCTTTTCACTACCAGAAAACGCCCTTTTACCAACAAACCAATTACATCAAAAGGGAACGCATATGATTAATTTTTGGTGACGTAAAGACAGTTTGAAAATCACAGGATTACATCACAAAAAGTACGTCAAAACATGACTCCTCCCCCAACATTTTCTCTTCGAATTTAGACAAATTACAAAACTGACCCTTCCGAGAACTGGGGGAACGTGTCGCCCCAGTCCCCCCCCCCGTGACGCCGCAACTGCCCCTAACATAGATTAAAATTCCATCTCCATTGACCGATTGCGATGAGATTGCTGTCGAATCCTAATACCTAAATTTCTTCAGAATCCATTTACTGTGTTTTTTTTTCAAATTTAACTCATATGCGGACTTGCTTTATCTCTCTTAAAAAAGAGAATCGTAAGATGAGTTTGCTAGCAAACGTAAACGAGGGAGCTGAAAATAGGCATAGAAGTAAACGTAAATGGGAAACCTTGATTCCGACAGAACTTCGTCGATAAGATCCTCAACAAAGAGAAACATAGCCGCTTCAGTAAGATCGTTTGCCATTTTATTTCGTTTTCGTGCCTCGGCTCAAATCTAAACGATCAAACAGCACTGAACGACTTTTAGTGCGAGTGCAAGAACTCCCGGGAAGGACTTGAACTCGATTTCGTTCTCGCAGTGGATCTAAACCTCCTTAGTATCCATAAAGAACCGGCAAGGATCTATAACTTTAGAAAACACAGAGAAATCAACAACTCTTAATTAATGGAGTGATTAGATACTAAACGAGAATAATTGCTAAAATTTATTTCACTTCAAAGTTGCTTGCTATCTTTGAGTACGAACGTAAACATAGCTACAGCAAACTGAGTCCAGGAGGGTTTTTAGATAAGATTGTAGTATTGTTCGGATTTTCTTAGGGTGCTCATGGAGTTGGGAGGGGTATAATCTGAAAAACTTAACTGGACTTTTAAAGGTCGATAGCATAACCCTCCTGGAATAAGAGGGGTGTACTCGTGTTGCAATATGATTACAGTTACAAAAAGGGAGTACAGTCAAAAGCATTAGAGCATCTTGCAGTAAACGAACAAACAAGGTTTGGAATCTTACTACATTTTGTTTTAAACGTGGTTCTTAGCCCTGTACCCGTTTAAATGCAATGTGTACAAAGGTCGAAACTCAACTAGTATCGGCCTATTCTCGATTTCCCTAACATCTACAAAGCTACGAAATACGACAAGCTAGCCGATTATGCTTTGATCTGTTTTCTATTTACAAATAATACTTCCTTCGTAAAAAAAACAAGTTAAGACGTATGTGCAAGACAAACACTTAGGTATCAACACAAAGAGTATGATGAAGTCCTGGCAAATTTTCTTCCAGCAGCTCAAAAAAGATCCGTTCTAATTTTCTACCCTCTTCTGCCACTTCAGATTTTTCCTACAACAAAAAATAATGGAAAAAAATATCAGTATCGTAATAAATTGAAAGCCAATGGCTGAAATTAGAATATCATGACCTGGAATAAGCATTTATTCTAAAACTTGTCCGTCATAGAATCTTTTTAAGATTTCTCTCACTGACATAAAAGAAAATTTCGTTTCGTAAACTTTTATAAAATGGCTGCTGATTATGTTTCGAATGATATTACCACGAGCATTGTGCAAAGTCATTGCACCCTATGAAGATTTAGATATATGAACAGGATTTTCAATTTGTGAATCTAAGTTACCTTTGCTTTAGCTACTAGAGTCCCCAAGTGACATGGGTCTCTAAGAGCTCAAAGGCGAGTCTTTGACCACAAATGAGTCGAGAAGTTTAGTCAAGAAATTTTGGTCCATGATTCCACCGGCTCGAAAAATCCCTACAGGCCTAGCTAGCCCCCCTTTTACACTGAGACAATCATTAGCTTTACCGAAATGGGGTTTTGCAAGGTTTAATTCGGGGTTAGGAACATAAACAATAAAATATTAAATAAGAATAGTTTGATGACACACCTCGTTGTATTTCGCACAATTCTCGAACAATAGTTTGACATCAGCAGCGAACTGGAAGGCATCTTCGTATTCGAGCATGTCCAGTTTGTCTCTAATCTGGCTCAGATCAATTGGATTTGGCACATACTTCTCATAATCCGGCACCTTGAGAGGCAAAGATGCAGATACATAACATAATTAAGATACACGTCATAATTATAATCGAAAATGTCAAGCTGTTGCTTGAGTAAAATCTCTTTTATGGTTAGAATAAATTTAGGCCAAAAAGTGATATCCATTGACGGCTTTTCATTTGGAGTAGATACAGTCAGTGGCGTAGCGTCCGGGTATTCAAGGTATTCAGTGAATACCCTGAGATTTCTCAGAAACAATATTAATACGACGTATAATTGTAATAAGTAAAAAATGTTTTGCGGCTATTGATTCTGTTTGAATTCGTTACCTCCGATATTTTACATTTTGTACAAGTACAAAATATCATCAAATTCATGGAAACAATAACGCTGCGAAGCATAGAGAAGCTGGGAGATCTTTGAAGCTAATTTTGAAGATTGAGCTACTTCATGTTGTATGGAGATCGGTCATGAATACGCAGTGAATACCCTAGCCCGTACTTTAACCAATCAAAATGCTCCTTTCCATGAATAATATTTGCCGTTAATCAGCTAAAACAATGGTTCTGTACGCTGAGAAATATGCAGCGTACAGCCTCAAAGTTGGTTCAAAATAGTCTCGTTATGAGATCGATATAAACAGTTAATGAACGTCGGAGCGGTTGGAGTGATGGAGCTGCATCGAAAACAGTAAACATGACTTAATTGAAAAACTATTGCAATGTCCGTATTACTGTTTCATAATCATTCTCTCATTTGACCACTAAACTTAATCTACCAACAGTAAAGTGGAAAGGAAAGGTAGGCTGCTACATAATACTACACTGACTCAGATCTGTTCCCTCTTGAAATGCCAATTTGTTATTGCTTGCAAATCAGGGATGTTTCTGTTTGTATTATGTGATAGAATTAAAGTAAATGCAGATAGGCCTAGATAATATCCTTATAGTTGCCTGGTGTATTCAGTTATCTTGTTGGCCTATTTTGTTTGCATTATTCGAGCGCATTTATTTGCATTATTGTGCAGTCTCATCTCATTACCTTCGATTCTTTCAAATATTTACTTGTATTGAAAATATCACGATTAGGCCATGAAGAAAAAGTCTGTACTGCATACCACAATATCATTTATAACTTATGTAATGCCCTATGTGAATAATTGTGAAACTTTCGAAAGCCCTTTTGTATTAAGGTATCAAGAGAAGATGTTTACAGTTACTTCCTCTTTACATCAGTGCAAATGTTAAACGATTCAACAACAACTATTGGGACATATTTCGACCAGTAAAATTTTACTGGCTTTCAATGATATGTTTTGATTTGAATTACTTTTGATGAAATGGTTAGTGGTAATTTGATGCAACGAATGAGTTTGAAGAGTATATTTGCGTTGGGTTCTTTAGCAAAGTATCGTTTTCATCATAGTAATGCCCTGACAGTGCAGTACTTGCCAACCGAACCAAAAAGAAAATTAGATAAAATGTCAATAGCTAGTCCTTTTAATCTTCCTATTATCCCCCTATTTTCATCAAGCCCCATCGAGCCACACCCTGCCCCACCCTTTTGTTTAATAGAGAATATCCAGTTGAAAAAGTCACGCTACGCCACTGGATACAGTAAAATCCAAATAACTTGAACCTCCAAGGGACCAACGAAATGGTTCGAGATAGCGAATGCTCGAGCTATTGGGGAGGGGGGGGGTTATATGATCATATATGAAAGTATTTGGCAAAGGGAATGCAATATCAGGTCGACTTAGCGAATGTTTGAGTTACCGGGGGTTCGAGTTATCGGGAATTTGCTATTAGTTCGTGGCAGATAAACACATTGTATTGTTTGCTATCTAGCAACCAGGGGCGAACACTCTTGGTCAAATATTGGGGGGGGCAAGCCTATTGTTTTAATAAGATGACGTCACATTTCCCATTGTTTTAGAACAAAAGACCATTGTCCTCCAAAGTATTGGGGGGCGGTCGCCCCCCCTTCGCCCCCCCCAAGTGTCCGCCACTGCTAGCAACCGAAGGTAGTTTTAGGGCAATAAGAAGCAGTGTCCTGACCATTTCTCTCGATGCGACCACACCTCGTAATTCCTGCGCCTGAAAATACAGAGAGCTGGCGATTCTTCTCACTCTGGGTGAAAATGTGGTCATGTCCGGAAAACGAATAATGGGCCCTTGGATCTGTAGTCAGTGACCCTAACCACTGAGACATCAGCGCATGAAGTTTGTTGAAACATAAAAGAGGTGTAAAAATGTTTATTTATGCATGGATAATATGAAGTGAAGAAAAATAGGAGCTTACCTTTTTTGGATCAACAGGTTCTCTGAAGAAATAAGAAAATTCACTCTGCCACATGCCACGTAAAATGTTCTCACAGGCAACAATCTGGCAAAAGATAGAAGTGATATTAATTCCTTTTCAACGGAAATAGAAACAATTCATAGTATTTAAGCTTTAACTTCAATCTCTTATAATTTTGAACCTTTTACTTTACAAACTTTTATTTTAACAGGACCCTTAGTGATAGCAGTATTATCTTTACTGAAAAGGCTATCCTGTATAAATATGGTAGATTATTATTATTATTATTATCGTATTTTTTAGTCAGTGCTAGAACTAGGTTACACCGGAACAGCTTCGGTTGGTAACAAGATAGCTAACAGGACAATTGGATAACTGGAAAGTAGAAAATCTGTTGGATGTGAGCTGTCTGATGTCCTCTCATTAGGCGTGAAACTCAGTGTTAAAAAACAATATATTGTCAACAACCTGGCAAAATTATCATATTTTAATAGAAATAGACAGCTGAAACAGAGAAGAGTTCAAAATCTTACATGACAAACATAATTTGACAACTTTTGATTTGGAAAGTTTGACATGAAAAACTAATGATTTCATGATGCTTTGCATGTCTTTGGTGTGTCAATTTTCGCCATTGACCATGTAATTTCATCATTAAATATTAGTAAAGTGGTTCTAAAAATGACAGGGGCGTATCCTCCTTCTGAAAGCACTTACAAGTTAAGCTTTCCTTCAAAAGTTTAATGCATAAACTTAACTGGGTAGTAATAATAACAAAACTTTGAGGCCGTTTACGCTCTTGTCTTTAGGTTCACCGCCTCAAATTTTTGAACCACATGTCACACGAATTGCCACTCAAATACGCTTAAATCTGCAATAACAAGAATAAACCTCTGAATTGTTTCCTCTGTTGCGATTTCTTGCTCTCCTTCCGAAATTCAGATCATCAGTGAGTCTAGTGCGCCTCCGCTCCGACTTCGCAGCAGCATCAGCATCAACAACCTCTTCACTCTCACTCACGTTTCGCTTCCTCGTTACCCGTCGCTTTTTCGATACACGTTCGTCAGAATCGCTGCCATCTTTGTCGTAACTCTTAACAGCAGCTCTTTTGTTTCGTTTTGTTTTCCTCTTTTTTTCTTTTTCGGTATCTTCACCCACGTTGCGAGTTTTTTTGCGACTCTTTGACTTTGGGCTTGGGTCACTATCTTCCTCCTGGTTGTGAGAATTTCGTCCACGGGTACTTTTTGGTTTGGTTTTGCTGCCTCTTTTTGTCCTGCAAATAGCAAAACATTGTTACAAACGTACAATGTTAAAAACCTGTCTAAGAGCGGTTACAATAGGTATCGTTTACTAACATTGTTTCTACGTTTGAATATAGCTTCACCTTTTACTTGGTGGCTCTTCTTCGTCATCGCTTGGTTCAGTTTCGGGGTCCTTTTGCTTGCGTGCCCCCCGTCTGTCACCTTTCACTTTCTTTGCACTTCTGACCCACTCTTCACCAGACTCTTCCGATTCCTCCGGATTGGCTTCACTAAGCTCCTCCTCATCGTCTGTTGGATTACTGTATCTGCCTCTTTTTGATGTTCTTCCGGTCGGAGACTTCTGTTTTTTCTTTGCTTTGCCAGATCTTCCCTGGTGCTTAGAGGATTTTTCTGAAAAGAACACACAATCGCTCATAATGAATGCCTTAAGAGCAACAAATAAGATAATTGCGTTGAGATACAATAGCTACCAGGAGATTGGTATCTTTCTGTCCATTAAAGTTGTTTGGAAAAGGTGTTTAAATTGAAATTCCATCCCACGGACATTCCCCTACCATGGACATCCTCCTATCACGGTCATTCCCCCTTAAAGGATATCTCCCTACAAAATAAAACAATTCTGGTCCTACGGGTATCTTGAAAATAGTGGTTCCAATCCCATCAAGATCAAATGGATGTTGTTTTAGATAAAGCAAATGAGTCAGAAACAAACCAACATATCTTATACATACCAATCTGTGTTGAGCACGTCGAAACCTCATTGCCATCTTTGGATTTCGACACACAAAACAAATCCATATGCCCCTGAAAACAGACAACTTAAGTGTAAATAAACTGAACAAAAAGCAGCAAAATGATACAAAACCCTTGCCACTTTATTGACAAAATATCAAGAAATTACAAAAACCTTGCTTGCAGCATGTGTCAATTCCTTATTATTTCAACTATTCGACAATTTGCCTGCTTACAAAAAGAAGTTGCCTTAAATAAGACAATGTTTAAATGTATGTCAAGATCTGAAGAAACGCTTCAAGCCTAGTTGAAGTTTGATTACTTCGTGCCTTATTGGGAGAGTGTTGCGGAAATTTAAAAACACAGATTTCTGCTTAAGCATACATTTCTGTCTGAAAACATTTTCTTCCAAAATTGGATAAGGTAATTTTATTGCACTTAACTCAAATTTGGGGATAATGTTATGGTCTTCAAAACACTTGAATAAATTTTTTTCCTTAAAAATAAACATTCGTTTTTATGCTACCTAGTGAACATTGTGCAAAGGTATTTAGCTCCAATCTTTAAGGTCTCCAAAAGCGGTTTGATTATCGATAACTGAACATCCGGAGCTACTTGCGTTAAAAAAGAATGGACATGCGCAGTGATGACTCTAGATGCTCATACTCCCTCATACCCATGACGGGGGTTCCTCATTCATCAAAAAACGTCGCTAAAAAAACTCTTATGCCTACATCCACCCGTGTTTAACAGGTTCTATAATAGCTTAGATAATCAATAGGTTCTAACCGTGGCAGTCTTCTAATCGGTGGCTCATGGCAGTCGAGGTGGTAAACCTTAGGACACTGATCACAGCAAATAAGTTCGCCATCTTCTCCACAGACATGACACAGACTTTCGTGATCTGATTCCTCTTCTCCCTCTAACTGCTCCTTTTCATCGTCTTCCTCCTCCGCACTTTCCTCATCTTGCCCCTACAAAATCAATATAAAAAAAATTACCAGAAGGCCTACTAAAAGGCAGCCGACAATTCTGTTTACAATATCCAATTACAGCGCAGTTACAGACTTCGAAAAAACTTCTGCTTTGATGCCAATTAAGAGGTCTCTTCCAATTATTCACTTTTCTAGTGAGATAATTCTAGAAAATTTCCAGCACTCATTTTTTAAATTCCTTCCGCCAATTTTATCGAAAAATAGCATAACCATGTATTGTTGAAATGGGTTCTATGCCAGGTCTAGCCTTGTCATTGATACAACTGAGACGAATAATAAAGCTGTGAAAGTTGATTGAGCAGCTCTTCGGGAATATTCAAAGCAACTGACGTGTACCAAGATGCTTTAGACGGTGCAAAATACTGCATCTTTTCTATCGAAAGCGGGGCGTCCTTTCCAGGAAATGAATGGTGCGTTTAAATTCGATGCATATCCAGTAAAAGATTTTAGCAGATTACATATTCAATTGACAAACAAGGAATGCGGTTTCTTTTAATACTTCTATTGAATAATCTGATAAAGGTCTTCATTTCCAGTATCTGGATTTATCCAACAAGCCTGTTCATGAATTATTTTCTCCATCCAGGTGAGATGAAGTCTAAGCCTTATGGATGTAAATAATCAGTGAAAGGCTCTTTCTTCTCAGAGCGAGACTCTTTCTTCTCAGAGCAAACTTACGGTTTGGTAATAATCCACAGGTTCTTCTTTTCTTCGCGTTCGTGCTCGCGAGGCTGGTGCCGCTGGCTGGAAAGCAAACAGATCCAGTTATGATTTACATAGAGACTTGGTAATGACAACAAACGAGTGGCAAATGTTGGCATTAGTGATCTCTGGTTTGCAGGCAAAAGACTTTAAACTATTGAAAATCACAGCCAGAATATAAACGAGAATCAAGGGTAATGATATCTTTAATTTCAATTGTCAATGCACAGTGTTGTATTGATCCGAAATTAGAACAATGGCCAAAGGGCGTTAACTATCCCGACGTTCGTAATCCCCTGCATTACGCATGGACAAATCAACAGCTTATCTTGTGCTTTAACCAGGATAAATGAAAGGCTTCGATTTCACGGTAAATTTTCTTGAAAAGTAATACCATTTTAAATTTTCAAAAGATGAGAGCAATCTTATCTCGAATAACTACAAGGCTTGGCAAAAGATACTTAATTTTTGCACATTGTTAATAACATCACTCTTTCCCTCTTTCAACTTGTTTTACGTCATGTTCAGAGTCTCAGTGCTGTCTAATTGATTTTAATCAGTTAGTTATGACATCTATCTAGACAACCAATTTTGTTTTGGGAGAGAGGAGAGTGGAATTGATCTTATGTACAAGAACCAGGTAGTTTTTGTCACAAAGCGCTTAAGGAGCAGGGCAACTAATGGAACTAATAAAAAATGAAAACAAAAACCTCCCTTCCAGCCAAAGTATTAAACATACTGGAACAAACAACAGAGCAGTAACAGTTTAGTAGATATCACAGCGAAACCTCTATTAGCAGGCACCTCCAAATAACAGGCAATAATTTCATCATACAATTCTATTTGCAGTACAAAAAGTACTGCAGAGAAAGCCTCAAAAAATGAACACTTTGTCAAAGTATGTATCTATATAGTCCTGTAGACTTTTGTATCCTTTATAAAGTATGTATCTCTATACGACAGGCAGTAGTACTTTTGAAATCACAAGTGTCCACTATATGGTGAGTTCATTGTAAGCCAAATTGTAGACATACCTGGCAAGCAGGGCATTTCCAGCTCCCTGATGGAAAATCCAATAAAGCAGGCCTAAGACAGTAGGGATGATAGCCACGGTTGCATTCGTCACATAACACAAGGTACTCATCGCCACCTTTGCGTCGGCAGATCTTGCATTTCTAGAAAGATTATCAAAAATTTCAACAAACCACAACAAACAGCACTCTCTTTAAATAGAAATAAATGAGAGAATTTCTTAAAAGCTCTCGATCTATGTATGATTCACTGAAATTTTCTTTGCATTGTCAGTGTCTAATTACAAGAAATATCAAATAGCAAGAATAGTATAGAAAATATGGAATCTGGTACTCATTTATATACTTTCTACTGATTCAATTACATGTTTTACTCTGAATTTCCATAGCCATAGACCTGCGGTTTTAATATTAGTAACTCCTTGTTATATAAAATACACAGAAGAATACCCCTATCTACCATACTTCTCTTGGATCGTGTTTATTACAGTTTTAATATAGTACTCGTGTTCTGTAGTATACGAATAAAATTGAATTGAATTGAATTGTCCTTTGCTTTCTTAGGCCCTTGGCACAGAATAGGAATTAGGCAGAAGAGGAACTCCTGCCCATCAGGTGAAGCCTGAAAATTCTGGCGCATGCGTTAACCTATACGAGGCTTAGCATGTATCTGTTGGGGAAATTTTAAAAAAGAATGAAAGTAGACAACTTTATTGAGACGAAATGCCCCATGATAGTGAAGAAAATCAATTATGAATCATAATTCGTTTACTATCTGATTAATGAATGATAATTTTTCATGGCTAAGTTCGTCTAATGAAATCGAGGTTAAAGGGGAATTAAAAAATTCTATTGTTGACACAGGCTTCAAAATAACAAAGAAACCGATGAGAGTTACCCTTCTGCCTATTTGCTATTCTGTGCTCTTGGTACCGCAAATTCTTATCTGTTTGCAACCCATGTGACAAACTGCCTATATCTAACTTACCACGTTTTCTGCTGATTTATCCCATTTCACGGAATTCTCAAGAATTCCAAGAAGAGTATGCAATGTTGATAACGTCTTTCCGGCTTTGACATTTTCCCGCCAATTCTTCACCACTTCCTCCTTTTCCATAGTACCTTGTAGGAACTTTGGTAACACACTTTGCTGGAGCTCCAAAACCAACGGGATCTGAATTGGGAAAGACAGTTATCTCTTCAGTAATGGTTTGCACAAACAGCGCTTGGATCTTACAATCTTTTTCATAAATATACAGGTTAAATTATCTTATTAAAGGATACATGAAAAACTTCCTCACATAACAAATTCTAGCTTTTTGCAAACCGTCGATTAATTAACGCCTTTGAATTAACGGAAAAATAATCCTGTTTTTTGCAGTCAAAGCCCTGATAATTGGCTTCAAAAACAGACGACCTCATGCAGCGGACAGAATCTATGATCCTAGAGCTTTCAATGTTTTTCAACATTTTTCGGGTACACCTTCGAATAACTTCTCCGTCCTAATTAAAAATCCTGCTGTTTTGACTCTCATGAAGAAATAACTTTCTGATATTTTATGATATTAGTGGATCAAATACTGCCCAGCATAGGTTCCTCATTAAACACATAGCTGAACCAAGGATGGCAGAACGATCAAAGAACAAGGATAGCTATCAACACGACAGATGAAAACGTTGTGTGGCACATATCATAAACAATGCTTGTAATTCAAATCATTACCTTAATATCCGTACTCTAGAAGATGCTAACTATAATTTTTGTAGGTATATTCCTGTGTAAGATTAAAAAATAGCTTTGGAATATAAACAGAATTACCATTTCCTCCAACGTGCGCCCTTCTGTGATTTTACTTTCCCACTGTTCCTGGTTTGAGATCATTCCTAGCACTCCTTTTACGATTTTGCTTCCAGATTCTAGCATGTCCTATAAAAAAATCACTCATAATAAATTTCTGTGCGTGGTATATCAACACTGTTTTGCTGCTTTGCCACCAAGACCTTAACATCCTGTTTTTCATAATTTCCAGTTAACGAAAAACATTTTAAGTAGAAGAACTGCAAAAAAATTGCTTGCATAAAAATAAAAAAGATTTCTGTTTAAATATGATAAGAAAGATTATAATATAAAAGGATTATCATAAGAAAGATACCCACTTGAGACCACTTAGGGGTACTGAACATATGCATTGAACAACACAATGCCCAGAATCAATTCATGTAAAACAGTTCTGATAGTATCTTAATTATTCATTCAACCACTGACCCCCTGCACCAACCTTATAGTGGGTTCCCATTGGAAAGGATTAACCCAGGGCTCAAAATTGTGGCTTTATTCTTAATCTGGGAACTCCAGGAAAATATAAATATTCACTTATTCAAAGCTATAGTTGGGATGCAGTTGCTACTGGAAAGCTTAAAAGAAATTAAAAGAATTAAATATGATTTAACGGTGGCTTTCCAGAGTCACTACGCCACCCCTTGTTGCACTGTGCATGGTAGAGAAGAGTTGTTATTTAAGGAAAGTTCACAGTTAATTACAACATCTTAGTTTGATCGTCTTGAAATAAGCTGCTCTACCTCTTTCAATACTTTGATTGATTCTTCAAAAACATCATATGGCTGCAGCTCACAGTTGTCGGGGTTTCTAAGAAAATAATTAGATTTATAACTTTTTATCAAATCTTTCCTAGCAGTCAAGTAACGAAAGGATTTTGATAATCTCTTTACACAGTTCAGTTGTTGAAGTTATATAAACATGGGATTATTGTAAGAAAAGAAACCACCAAAAGTGTGAGTTACGGAAATGTTATAATATTGTAGTATACAATAGATTAACAAGTATAACTATTAGCACAAAATATGAATGGGTGCTCAAACACGGAAAGATAATGATAGGACAAACAACAATGTTAAGGTTATATAGAAGAATCATTTCCAGATGTTTTAGAAGTTGAGAAAATCATTATAAATAGTTCTCTATGGCTACCAAGTAATTTGATCACTGGAGTTAGATTATCGAGCCTTCTAAATATAATCTAACGTAAAAATAACCCAATATAAATACAATCTAAGTCCTGAAGAGCTAAACCTGTTTGATTGTTGGCAGGAAACATATACTTAGGCTAACTGATTTTCGCTCTTTTCCGCAGACATTCATTTTCTACACATAAAAAACTGAGGGGCAATTCACTCTTGCAAATAGCGTACGAGATTTTCACTAAAATGAAAGGATTTCCAGGGATTTTCATATAAAACAATAGGATTTTCACAAAAGGTGTACGAGATTTTCTTGGAGTAATTTACCCCTCGTAAAAAACCGCACTGAACTCTACAGTTGAATTCCCATCCCAACTCTGGTGACACTTTCCATTGCAACTTAGGTAACAAGTTATTTTACCTTTATGACAACAGTTAGTCTTAAGATAAGTTGACTTTACATATATTAATTCATAAATGGCTTGATAACAGCAAAGGATTGATTTGTACATATTCATACTCTCTAGCCTTGCTAACCAGCCGCTAATGTCCTAAACTGTTTACGTAAAAGATTTTGACATCAAAGCTTCTCTAAGAAATAGTTTGTCGTGATAAAGTTGCAATTAGAGCTCTACTTGGGCTGCTAGCGCCAGGACTAAAGAGATGATGGAGAGGGTGAGTTTAGCTACTTGTTACCTTGATGAAAGGAATATATCGAGCTACTTATTACCTTTTCTTAATCAGAGACGTTATCGTCTTGTACTGGCTCGACAAGCAGGCTTTCAGGGCACTTTCTCTTATACCCTGCGTTGCTAATGCCTTCAATAGCTTATCCACTGCTTCAACTGAATCGTAGTATTCCCAGCTGCAGAAAGATTGAAAATTGTTTATGACGAACCAGATTAACGTGGGAGAATGTTAAGCTAAGCTGCCATAGATAGGGGTCTTATCGTCATCAGTGAAGATCAGAAAGAAGATTCACTGTCAAATTAAGACTAGAAGAAAACAAAGGTCGAGGATAATCTAAAATTAAAATCTAAAATATTGTAAAATTTACTAAGCAGATGCCAGTGCTAATAATAATGATCCAAATTCAGAATCATGCCGATAATCACGGGGGAGAAAAACATCTGTCGAATGGAGCAACCCCCGTCCATGTAATCGAAGGGCGTGCAGATCGATTATTATCATTCTCGCATATGCGATTGGACTGTGTGAAGTGGGTGTCTCTTTAAGGGGGTGGTCCATTCGCTAAGAGATTTAAGCTTGTTAGTCTTCCCAACGTATAACCAGAGAGCTTAAAATGAGGATTAAAGGCAACTGTTAAGATATGAAACGACAGATCTACAAACTCTTCGAACCTCAAGCAATAGTCCAATCTGCCACTGACGATTAAAGCTCGGATTATGATAATCATAAATTTTGGGTGGTAAATTTTTGGGATTTGTTATCTATTTGTATTTTCGTAAGTCTTAAAAAACTGCTTTGGTTATCAAATATTCATTAAATTGTCATTGGTATCAGTTGGAGTTGGGTTTTGTGGGCTGAAATCGCATAATTATGCGGTTTTTTAAACCCGACGTGGCCTGTTTTTGATAGCTTGTCGCCGGTAACTTTTCGGCAACATATATGATCCAATGACACTATATATGAAAAATGCTAATAAATACTGCATCATTAACTGTGCAATTCAAACCAAAACTCAGCGGCAAGGTTATCGGATATCATGGTTTGGCTTGATCAACTGTTATCGTGGATAGCATGTCTGCGTATCGACTGGTGCAGATCAAGACGATGGGAGGAGTTTCATAACGAACATATCCTCACAGGTATCTGTGGCAAGTTTATTTTGGAAACGAAAGGGCAAACGATTGGAGAGGATGGTGCAAAAACATGTGCTTGCAGTCAGGTGTCATATAACAACGGAGACAGAAACTAGTTGACAAAAAATACATGATACCAGATCTAGTAGAGAAAATAACCAAAATATTTGCATAAACTCTTCTTTAAGAACAGGGTAGGAAAAACATTTGGGATGGTCTTTTTCACTTTTTCAAACAAAGCTCAGAAAAGTCTGCTATCGTACATGTAAAAAAAATACGGCGTTTTAGGGGGCAAAATATAAACATTTTCGGGACCAAATTACCAAGGTGAATTCAATCCTTAAAAAATCTGAAATATACAGTGCTCTGGATACGTTGGACAAAATCCTAGACATTTCTGTCATATCTAAAAGCTGTGCATGAATGAAAAAGCCTCATAACCCTGCTTTACATTAATTTCACCGATATACTGACAACTAAAAGATGCATGGACCTAACACGAGATATCATATCATATACCATATCAGAATACCATACCATATCATATACGGTATACCAAATCAAAGTATCAGGTTAATTAAAAAAAGGCTACCTGTCTATTGTTCTTTTCTCTCCAGCATCGTACATCCATCCATCTTCAACGTAAATACCCGGCATGCCATTAGAAAACACCCAGTATAACTTGAAATGTCGATCGAGACCAACCGGTTCCAGACGCAACGATCTTTTGCACTTGTCAAGGCCATCCTTGATAAAAAACAAAATAAGCAGGGCATCAAAACGAATCCACAGTACAAAATCTGTGTCAAGAAAATGCTTATACTTCCTTAACCGATAAGCAATATTACCGCCCCCCCCCCCTCCCCCGGTAAACAATGGAAAGATACGAAATCTAGTTGCACTGACGTTATTTCTTTGTTCCTAACAACAGTCGTCGCGGCCATCAGTCGAAAGACAATCAATTTTCCTGGATTCGGCCATTTTCAGATTGAGCTTACATTTTAAAGGTTAACTGTACTTTTGGTGGATACTTTCAAAAAAATTTAAGTATCTTTTGACTCTTAATTCTCAAAGTTCTGGAAAACTTGGATCTTAATGATGCTTAGAACTTTTCCCTTAGTTAAACTGTGATTAAAATGATGTTTATGAACAATGACCCACCTTCCATGCTTGTATCTTCTTCATTTTCTGTTGCAGTTCATCCATCTCTTTTCTCCTGTAATTCATGGGAAACGTTTCAGTTTAATGAGAATTGACCTTATCAAAGACAGGACTCAAAAGTGGCAACAACAATTTCAAGTTTTGCTGAATGAATCAATCTTTTGGAAATGGTGTTTCTCTGAAAATTGTTCAAGGGAAATTAGTACTTGTTTTGAGTTCGATGTAGTGATGACCTTAAAACATGTTTCTGGTCAGAGATAGGGGGTTTCATAACTTGAGAATCTTCAAGGAACATGCCACAAAATAATCGTTTAGTATAGTAAGAAGCTGTTTTGAGTGAGCAGACTTATGTTGAAAGTCAGGAACATTTTCTAACAAGGTATCTATCCTGCAATGAATAATCTTGCTAAATTCTATTAGTTTTATAGGTATTTCTCTGTGGTCGGTAACTGGAACAAAAAAGGTTCAAACTCTAAATCTAAAACAACCTTTTCAAGTTAATTTCAATATCATTTTACTGAGTTCATGAGTTATAAAAATTTTGAACTAGAATTTTGCACAAAATATGAAATCCTGATTCCATGAATCCTTAAAGAACACTAAATGTGCAGTCATGTGCAAAAGTTTAATGCTAGGAGAAAAATGAGAAGAAATGCAGTTATTTCAAAAAACAATATATATATTTATTTATCAATATTATTCTATATACGATCAATACATACATTTTAAATATTTCTTTGTTACATACTTTGTCTAAAATTCCAGTAAAGTGCACTAGAGTGGTACTTTTAAACAAGAAATCTAATTTTGATGTAAACCTAGAAACCTAGAAAAATGGCAAAACGTGACACATGGTCTTAAACTCGTGCACATGACTGTAGTTCGAAAAACCAGGGGGTAAGATAAATCGTAGACCTAAGAAGACAAAAATGAATGGGACAAAGCAAAAATCGGATAAAGCAAGAAATAAACAGGGCCAATAAAAACAAAAATAGAGATTTAATTAAAAAATAGAAACCTTTCTTTTTCCTTCTTCTCCTCCTCGCCCTTGAGAGCAGCCTGCTTCGCAGCCATTACCCTCCTTTGCCTCACAATGTGAACGAGGTCAGCAACAGGTTCCTTCGGGTAGTCTTTCATTAACTCATCATCTGCACTGAGTTCCAAATTTTTACCCTCTTCAACCTTTGATGAAGACAACATATAAAGGCGATATATCTCACAAAATTAAGCCACGTTCTTTTAAGAGGAGAGCTGTAGCTGCAATACTAGCTTAAATAATGAAATTCAAAACAATTTGAAAAAGCAGCAATTTTATAAATGTCAAGCAACAAAAATTCAAATATAAATTACCCATTAACGATTATTATTAACATAACATCGTTTGATGATTGCAGCTAAAATTATGTGGTACCTCAGATTTTTCAGGCCTTTTCTCGACATCAATTACTTTTTTCTTCTCTTCCTTCTTCTCTTCTTTCTTCTCTCCTTTCTTCTCTTCTTTCTTCTCTTCTTTCTTTTCTTTATCCTCAGCCTTCTCTTCCTTCTCTTTATCATCAGCTTCGTTTGTCTTCTCATTTTCATCAGTCCCCAATGAATCGGAAATTTGGGTGCTGTCTAGCTTTTTGACAAATTTATCAATTGTCATTGAATCCGAAATCTACATAGAATAGATTTAGCTATAAAACTGATATCAAAAAATTACTATTAGCAGTACAGTACAAGGTTTTAAATCTCGTAAAAACTAAAAATCACAAAAAAGCTAGAAGGGCTACTGCCAGCCACTGCCAGCCACTGCCAGCCACTGCCAGCCACTGCCAGCCACTGCCAGCCACTGCCAGCCACTTCCAGCCACTGCCAGCCACTGCCAGCCACTGCCAGCCAATGCCAGCCACTGCCAGCCACTGCCAGCCACTGCCAGCCACTGCCAGCCACTGCCAGCCACTGCCAGCCACTGCCAGCCACTGCCAGCCGCTGCCAGCCGCTGCCAGCCACTGCACACCTAAAAAAGAATTAATCCTGAACCAGGCATTGAGCTTATCGTTAAACGTTGTGACAGCTTCTTAAGTAGAATGATTGAACAGCTATGATGGGGTCAAGTTGGCCTTTATGTTGATTCTAATGCTGTTCGGGATTGAACTGTAGACTTTGTTCCATATTGTATAAAAAACACAAGCTCTGAAATCAGGCCTAACTGATAAATATAGTGATAAAAGACGTCTGGAAAAATTAACGTGGATGTTCTCTTATTAGGCAACATAATTTAAAAATTTAACTTTAAAACAAAATATTAGAAAATTAGAAAGCAATCATAGAATGAATATTTACAGCAGGACTCTTGTTTTCAGCATTTTTGCTCTGCTCTTCCTTTCTTTCTTTTGCAGCTTTCTTTCTAAACGCATCCTGTTGGCGCCTGGATATGACCGAAAGAAGCTCGATGAACTTTAAACGAAATAAAGCGAGTTTTAAGATATGTCATGATGAAGCCATTTGTGGTCCAGCTACAAATGGCTGCAATACTAAGGAAAATAACTAGATTTTATATATAACTATTAAAACATTACTTAAACGTAAAATAAATTTCATTCTGGCTTTTTGATACACTTCGTCAACAGCACATTTTCTGAATTCGTCATGCTGAAAATAACATGCATCTTACACCAGAATCAAAAAATAAAACTTGGACGAGGCATCTAAAATCCACACAGAGTAAAAGCATCAAGACCGGACACAAGCAATTTCACGATTAAGTTAATCGTCAGTCCCCCTCTCTTGCCCCCCACCCCCCTCCCTCGCCAATATCCCTTATATATTGCCGTTCATATAGGCCAAAGACATCAAAATTACGGAAAAGGCTACTTTTGGGCTTTCTAGCATATCACTAATTAACTTATTTACTCTGCAAATAACGGATAAAAAACAGGCAATGACAAAAATTTTCAAAAGAAAGATGGTGACAAAATATGTTAAAGAGAAACATAGGGGCAGAGATGCTGCGATCGCCCAAACTACAAATAGATATCCAATCATAAAGAACCCCCTTTTTGTTCCAGGTATTCGATACAAAATTTCCTGCTCAGACGAAGCTCCTTAGAATAGCAGAATCCGCTTACTCTCTTTGAAACAAAACTACGTCAATCATTGTTAAAAATACTGGCTGCAAAAAATAATACCAGAGTTCTCTTGTCTCCATTCTCAGGTTTTCGGAATAATCAGAATAGTATTCTGAGTCGATGATTTTGTGAAACAAGAACACCAAAACCTTTGGAAGATAAGAGAGGCTAGAATAAGTCACAATTTGAATGCGAATGCAAAACCTATACCAGAAAGTTTATCCAATCAAGAAAAAGATTAGGCTTTAAACAGTAAGATGGGATTTTACGGATTTAACTTTAGATTTTCATACTAAAACTCTATATGAGAAAGCTTACAGGTTATTGATGAAATATTAAAAGCGATGACAAAATTTATCCTGAAAAAGACATTTCACGTTGTGACCAAAGTCACGTTTAGCGAACAGAAAACACTGAACTTAAACTAAGAAATAGACAGGAGATCTTTGAAATGCCTAAGAGGTTTTTGACTCCCGAAAATCTATCGTTGCGTTAGCAAGCCCAAGCGTGTACACTGCATCTGAAGAAAAATAACCGATGAGCCAAATTAACAAAGAAGGGGGAAATGAACTTTGTATAGAAAAATACGCACCTTGAGTTTATCAGACGCTGATAAGGTGAAAAACTCGTTTTTCTCAAGCCAGTTAATTATTCTACGCGGCTGAAAAGAAACAAGCAACGAATAAATTAAAATAACAAGAAGGAGGTTATTTTCACCGTTTCTATATGACCGTTGGTCACAGAAGAAGACAGGAAAACAATTTCTCCACAGAAAATCTTTGTCTTTAATATGACGATTATAGAAAATCGCAAAGAATTCACCGGTAAAAGTTGCTGATAATATTTTAAATTGTGTCTCCTGCTTGTCTTCAACAACATAATTTTATTTATACATTTAATAAAATCGAATTTCGAAACCACAAATTCCGAACTATTTCCGAACAGAAATTATTGATCTATTTCCGAGCTATTTCCGAACAGAAACTTTGCGGTCACATTACATCCATGGGAAAAATGCATCTCGGGTATTAATATTACATCAATCATTCTATTGTTCTATTTCCTAGGTTTTTGATTCAGCTGTCTCAGCATTTTTTTGAAAGCTATTAGGCAAAAAACAGTTTATCTTAAGAAGCTTAAACGATTTTGATAGAGTCTAAAATAAAATCTCCAAAAAAGTTTCAATAGGGGACCAGAACCTGAGGCTGTAGTAAGCAAAGGAGACATAACTCGGCGACTTAAAAATGCGATATCTAAATTGGAACATTAAAACAGCCTAACAATAAGAATATTATCACCTCAGTAGAAGGAATTCACGAATTTACTATTTTTCAAGATTAAGGTCAGCTTTATAACAATGCTTATAAGTAAATTATCTTAACTTTTTAGTCTTAATTTCCTGAGAAAACATGAACATAGAACCTGATTTGGGCGGTATGCAATAGTGTCATAGTTTTTGCAATCTCATTAGATTTTTTACATACCATCTCCTCTTCATCAACAAATCCATGATTAGTGCTTGCGACACTGCTTGCGTCATCGTCCTCCTCCTCATCTTCTTCGTCACCATCTTTGGAGTCATTGGCCTTGTTTCCTTTAGCAGGCTTGCTGCAGGTCAATCTTAGGTAGTGATACAGCAGTTCTGATACTGTGAACACAGTCAATGGCATATCTGCAAGGCCGATTCCAAGACCGTTGATCTACAAAGCAATGACAACCCCCTGTCAAAATAGCAATACGAAGTGGATTTATTGCACCATTCTTTGTTTTAAGGGCGTAACTGGAATTCAGGAGAAAGGATGAGCGGGAAGCGAAAAGAGGGCCAGAGGCTATTGCTAGATAGGCCCACAAAATTAACTCTGTAAAAAGAGATAGATAACAAGTCAAGCTGCTTCAATTAAGATGAGTTAACCGGGGGTTGATTTCCTATTAACTATGGTTCAAAATAGCTAATAGCTTTATTGCTCTTCTTTTTTGTATAAATCCAGTATAAGCCTCGCTGATAGAAACACAGTATATTGATATGCTATGTTGCTTAGCCCAGACCGTACAAGCATCTTTGGAGAAGTTGATGATTTCCACTGATAAAGTAACATTTTCCAATACTACCATATGTGCCAAGCTTTGACCAGCTGTCCCATTCGCGGTTTGAGTGAAAATGTGATTACTATTAATTTTTCATGTGACCATTATCTATGTCGATATCTCGTTTTTATCAATCAACGAACAGCTCTTTGACTGTTAGGCTGTCTGGTAGAGTCTATGTACTCTTTTATTTAGGTTTTCATTCAAGTCTACTGAATGAATGCAGTTATTTGAAAGAAAAAGGACACTCGCTGAAAAATACCCCAACAAAAACCGAAGCTTGCAATAATGTTTACAAAGATTCTTCGTATATAAAAAATGGTCTTTGTTAGGCCTTTCAAAATAACCGACCCCAAGGATGATAAAAAATTGAGAAACGAAAGTACTGATCAAGCCAGAGATTTCATGAAAGTTATATCTTTCAGTGACTTACTCCTCTGTTTCGCTACTGCCTCACATTACGGATGCTACAACAGAGACTTGTAATCGATATCAAGATAACAAGAGAAAACTCTTATTTATCTTGTCGATATGGCTTGTAAAAAGATTAAAATTATAGACATAGAGGAAGCAAACCAAAAAAACTTAAAAATCCATTCATCGATCTGTTTCTCTACTGATTCACAGGCTGTCTATCTAAATCAAAAATGCCAACTATCCAATCAGATAAACAGAGCCTCGAGAAATCAATTAGCCTACCTCTCGTTCTTCTTCTCCAATTAGAGCACGCAGAAACACCAGAAGGATTTTCGAAATAACATCTGCACCTTGGCCGCCTGCTGCTAAAGCCTTTATTAATTGTTCTAAAGGAAATAGAACTTCCAATTATTCGCACGACTTTTATAAATACATTCTAAAATGCAGGTCAAATCGCAGTAAATAACAGGATCGAAACTTCGACATCAAAGAACCGAGGATTTGCTTCTGAGCTCACAGCATGGACGTCACGCACTTCATCAAACTAGTGTCTCAGACTTGTAAAATACAGGGCCGGGCACCTTTGCCGAACAACTTGGAAAACAGAAAACATGTCTATTTAGCACCATTAAAGCCCCTTTTCACGTGGAAAGTCCATATATTACAGGCCGGCACATTTTTCAAGACTTGCTGTTGTTTTTAAATAAAAAGGTGAAATTATGAGCTTTAGTAGTCCAGGTTAATGATAATGACGTCATTTACTGTGAAACTGTCTCGCTGACAGTAATCGAAAAGCAGTACTGCTGGTGAAAGAAATTCACGAAATCAAAGAATTCTATTAGAAAACTTCCAAGACCAAGTTGTGCACGAAAATATTATTTTTAGGCCCCGAGTTTTGAAGCCAACCTTTGCAATCTTAAAAAGACCTTTTTTAAGAAGACTCACTGATGACTTAGTTTATTTTGTACTTCTGTTCTAAACATACCGTAAACGCATACCCTTGGATACTTGGATACTTGGATGGTAAATTTCCAAAAAATGTATAAAACAAAATTAATCAATTAATTCTTGCCTGCGGTAATACTGGGGGTTTCTTCAGGGGCAAGAAATTTGTTGAACACGTAGACGAACTCGACAAGCATGGCAATATCTCCGAATGCTGTGTTTGCGAGGCCACCCTCCATTTCGATTGGCTTAGGAGCTGGGAGAGGTGCAACGTTCTGCAGCTCGAGATCATCATGCTTTTGATTCAGCATCTGCATAATTACATAAACATCAAATTATGCAGATACATTATAATTATCACATAAATTATGCATTAAGCATTGTGCCGGGAGTTACAAACGATTCTAGTCGATATATATCGTGCGAAGATCCGGAATCAGTGCACGTGGGAAGATCCGGTATAAATGAAACTGGTCCAACAACAGTATAAGCTAAACAAAAAGATTCCTATGTTTCAATCTTACTGACATTCGCCTTGGAATACGATATAAATAATTCTTACTCTCTACTTTTTAATTAAGAAATATTGAGGATATTGTACCATAAAATTCCGTATAATTTTTCAAAGGCACTTTGCCTTCAATGGGGCCCCATTTTCCTTTGCAGACAGTAACTCTGAGATTATTGCAAAGAATAATAAATTGTTGTGATCGATTGCTGTTTAAATAAGTTTCCAAAAACACCTGTCAATCAAATGCAAACTTTTTAAGAACATTAGTAACATTTCCTGGAAGGCCCATAAAACAGAGTGGGTTCCAGGTCATTTATGGCATTGCATAAATATATCAAAAAACGATTCATAATAAAACTAGTTTAAGACTTGCCTTCTTTCTCTCTCTTCTTATTTTGTTCCATTCCTCTCTAGAAATAAATTGCAGAAAAATATATAAAAAACCAAATATTTTCTATACTTAAGCCCTTTTATAACTATATCATATCTCCTTAAAGAACAACAACTACAATAATCTAGACAAAGTGCTAATTTTTATGATGTTTCAACCCAACTTTAATTTTAAAAAGAAGATTGCTAAAAAGGAGATTGAGTAAATGGCTTGATGTTTATTTAAGATCATATTGCATTTTTGTTCAAAATTCATCAACTGTGGCTCAAAACTGGAGCTAAAACTGCCCACTATCACACATTCCCTTTGAAAAGAGAAAATCTTCTGCACAGCTGACTTATATCAAGAAGCAAAGTAATTGCTGTTAACGCTTACTTCTTCTGTTGCCTTATTTTCTCCCTTTCCTCTTCAGTTAATGATTTCCTAAAATTAGCAAATAAAAATACATTAGTCTAGCACAGAAAAGCGGAAACATGAGACACATAACTTGCTTTCTTCCTAAACACCTCAGTGCGTGAACAAGGATTACTAAAGAAAGGAAAGCAGAAATTTATATCCAGTAGCAGGTAAAAAATAAAGAGAGAGGGAATATGTCACTTTAGATTGACACAAAATCTCTAGAAATTCATATCAATGCATATACCAGTTTGAAGGGGCATGTTGCTACAGGCTCTTTATTAGACCTCACTGATTTAATAACAATGTTTTAAGCAAAGAAAAACAACAAGGTAAAAAGTATTGTGAGATCTAAATCATTTTCATACTTGTAATTAAATATTAAAATGTCATACTGAATCTATATGATATCTTGTTATTTATATGCTTTAGTTTAGATACATAGTCTTATGCTGTAAAATCTGTACTTTTAATATGCGTTTAATTATGTAATTGTTGCATTGTAATTAGGTTATTGGCCATTTTGGCTTTGATACCATGTGCAAAAAAGAAAAAAGAATCTGGTTGTGGTTGACCATTTAAACTGATATTCCATTTCATTGTTTTTCACTGATTTTGCCCTTAGTAACTAAGCAATTGCTATGGAGACAACAACTCAGGGGCGGATCCAGACAAAAATTTGACATTCTCAAAACCCATTATGACCGACCGACCACGCCCATTTCCCGGAAACGCCAAAGAAATTGTTTTCTGTCTTTTATGGATGCAATGATTAAAATTATTGAAATTTTAAGAGGAGAAATAGAAACAAACAATAAGAAGTGGCAGACACCCAGGGGAGATGAAGGGAGGTAGTTGTTCCCCAACATTTTGGGAAGACAGAGGTCTTTTATTCTAAAAAGAATGGACAAATGTGATGTCATCTTATCAAAAAAATAGGCTTGCCCCCTCATATTATTGCCCAAAAAACAACAATGATGCAACATTAAAGAATTACTTAATAAGCATAGCAACACTAGTAATTGAAAATTGGGTAATGCAGGGAAAAATAACACAAAGATCAAGACAAAATGTGTGTGGCAAATTGTGCTTGGTTTTCTAATGGTTTAACATGTGGAATTTTATAGAAAGAAGTGTAGTTTTGTGGACATCCAAATGATTGATAAAAATTTAAGGGCACAAGACTCATCATAGAAGAGAATTATTAATGAAAGTTGACCAATGAAATTACTAAAAATGCAGGCACTTTCAGAGTATACAAGCCATAGAAACTTGGACAAAGAAATGGGCAAAAACCTTTTCTAGCAACAAAAGTAGACTGCTAAGGCTAGTCAACTTCTTTCTGGATGCTAACTCTCTTAAATGCATCATATCTTTTGGCATATGATAATTGCACTGCTTTAGAGTAAAATATTTCTGCATCAAAGTCAAAGTCTGTATATCTGTTTCAGATTTGTTGTTCATCATTTGGAAATACATGGAAGAAAAATTACTTTGGGATGACTGTCTATTTAGAAGATCCATCAAATTTAAATTTGAATCTTCTGAGACCTGACACTTTATACTAAACTTCCCTTTGCTTAGCTTTCAGATGCACTTTCTTTTGTCAAAGAAAATGATAATTTTTTGCCTTCATAATATTTCCTTCCACAGGAATGTTAACCAAAATTAGCTTTTTATCCAAACCACAATTCCATCAAAACTTAGTCTGGTAATAGGCTTGCTAAAATAAGCAAACAAATGCATTTCTCATCATTTTTCTTGTTGAAAGACTACTCCATTACTCCAACTCCTGCCATACTAGATTACATCATACCAAATACTGCATTTTAACATGCATTAAAAACAGATTCTATCTGCCTTTACTGTGTGTACTAACTTAATGTAAAACATACTTTATTGGACAGCATTTCCAGTTCCTAGTACCACCTTGCTCAAATAAATATATCTCAAGATTTTGACTTCT